TCTGGTATTTTCTTACTATCAGAGGGACGTGGCAAGACTTCTGTTTTTGCAGCATCAGTAAGATGTTTAAATATGAAATCAATTTTACCATCTTTTGCTGGTATACTACTGAGATGTTCCCTTACATCAGACAACCAGTCGTCTATATCAGGATCGCTCTCTTTAATTTGTTGTCCAGCTAAAGATGGTATTTTTCTTTCAGACTTAATATAAACTTTGGACTGTGGTTTTATTGTGATCGTCTGTTTAGTCTCAAGTTCCTTCAACTTTTTTCTTAACTGCTCCGACTCCGACTCTTCTTTCACCTCCGACATTGCCTCTGTTATTTTTCAATGGCAGTGAAAAGAGAGGTTAACCTCACTAATCTCTACTCAATGAAAGTATACCGACTGCCCATGAACAATGTAAATAACTAACAGCGAGGATTCCTCACTTATCAGAGATTTGCAAAGATTACTTGTCAGACAAATCACTATAACAGTTATTTACGACCAAAGATGTTAGTCGTCTTAACCATAGTACTAGTTTTTCCTAACGACGAACAAGGATGTATACCACCGTTGTATAGTTTGTAATTGAAATAATATACACTCTTCTTGTCCTTCTTCACCTTTCTGTTTCTCAGGAGATCTAGAGAAAACTTTGGAGAGCACTTTTATTCAATTCACGAATAATTTGGTTCAGATTTTCAATCTTGTTTCTCTAACAGTTTATCGTCCTCATTAAACTTGGACGGGTGCTGATGTTGTTTCTTTGCTTTGTTCCACTTTGAAATAGAATAAATTGGAACTTCCAGAATAGAAACTTTAACTTCTTTTTACTTCTTTATAAAATTAATCACTTCTACAAATTTGCTCTTGAGATATTCGACACTGTCATCATTCAGAGTTCTAATTGATTCGAATTTTCCAGACTTAATTGTCATATCACAAGTACCTAACCATACACACAGATTGATTTTGCTATTATCAGGCACGTAGCATCATTTTTAAAAGTGGGGGGGGGGGCAACCAGAGAAATTTTTTTTTAATTACCTGAAAAAATTGACAAGCAAAAATACCCCGAAAAATCCTATTTCGTGGGGGGGGGGGGGGGGGGATTGGGGTAGTGGCCAACTTTCTCAAAGCCAAATTACTTTCACTTCTAAAATTTTTCCTACAATTACTTGATATCACTATCACCCTTGCTACGTCCATGATTATATCTGATTTTTTAATTAATATTTTACTAACCAGTCAATTACATCGCTTGTTCCTTCTCCACTTTTACAACAATATATATTTTTTTTCCAAATTGGTGGTAATTTACCTCTATAAATAGAAAGCCTTGCCGTCTGACAATAAAACTGGTATTGCAATCTTACGCTTACCATTTACCTCAGGATTAAGTTGTTGAATCGACTTCAAAATTTTAGGCTTGGACATTAGAAATGGAAATATATAAACTCAATCAAAGAAACAAATCAAAGATTTCTAAAAAAAAAAATTCGTCTCCACTGGTCTCTAATTTCACAACACCATCGGCATTCACCTGATCCAAAGATCCCATTTCTTACACGCCGTATTTTGGTGGATTTCATTCTTTATTTCATATAAAGACGGATGATACAAACATTTTTCCTTCTTTGGAAGAGACTTGATATCATGTCACAAGTTTAGAAAAGTGAATAATTCTTAGAATTTTTTCTCCGAAGAAATGGAAAATAAAATAGACTTGGAAAATATTAGTCATATTTCAATATAATCACAAAGAAGAAGGTACAGTTTCAATACAAATAAAGCCCTTTATTTTTCTAAAATATGAAAGTGATATAAGAAATTAAAATTCATTCTTTATGAATCATAGGAGTTCTTTGCAGTAAGAATACACAAATGATTTTTCTCATATGACCTCTTAAATGCTAATTGTGACATCATTAACTTGTGCATTTTCCCGTACTTTCTTAAAAAGTTACAGAAGACATCAATTTTCAGTGGAATTTTCTTTTAGAAAACGTACTCTGCCACCGTCGCCCGGAAATATTTTGAGATATGTGATTTTTCATGGCTATGTGCACAATATATCCAAAAATTAAAGCGGGCGACGGTGGCAGACACTATTTTCGAAAGGAAAATTAGCAGAAAAATGAGTCATTTTGAAGCTTTTCTGCATTAAACTTAAAAATGTACCAAATTAATGACGTCATATTTTAAGAAAGGTTCTTCTTCATGCCATATTCTCTAATGATTTATCATATTCGTCTATTCAACTATTGTTAAAGCCAATTTCATAACTTTTTAAGAACATTAAATTTTTAGGGCATAATAAAGCTCAAACCGTACCGTCTTCTTACAAATATGGGCAAAAAAAAAAACTCAGTACAGGTGTACATATGAAAACAAATTTCAGAATATGTTACCTTGGTGCTAAAAGTGTAAAATAAATTCTAGAAAAATATACCAAGCCAAGTGTATTTTATGAGAAAAAACAAAATTACAAAAAAAATTAGCAATATCACATAGGCTGATTTCTACCATTTTGTTTTTCCTTCACTTGGCTTGGTATATTTTTTCCTAAAGTTTATTTAAAATAACGTCAAGTCATAATTTTTAATATAAAATCTTTTAAATCATTTCGGTGCTTCCTTTTTCAAAATATCGATTCATGTCTTGTGGAAGCGAGTAAGTAGAAATTGTTAAGACATGTATTTGTTTGCTACTTCTGTCATGTTTGGTCACAGAATATTTTTCAACGGACCATTTGTTTCTCTAGTTCTGCATATAAATTTTGAATAATGTTTCTGTAAGCCATTTAACTTTGCTACCTTTGCAAAGACTATGCAGGTGCAGATAGAGGTATGTATTAATTTTGAATAATGTTTCTGTAAGCCATTTAACTTTGCTACCTTTGCAAAGACTATGCAGGTGCAGATAGAGGTATGTATTGGATATATGCCGAATACAGTTCTGTATTAAAAAATATCAGACAGTTTGAGGCCCGTTAGGGCCGAAAACTGTCTGATATTTTTTAATACAGAGTTGTATGAGGCATATATCGTACTTAAAACATTGCTTTTGATTTACCTGAGAAAGTCCGATATTAGAACAAAAGACAAAGGTGTTAATGACCACTGAAGCAATTCTTTCAAGAATGTAGGCTTAAATGAAAAGTACTCAGTATTTAGGGATTTAGCTACAATGAAGTAGGTATTTGAACGAATTTAATTAGGAGAGTGGGGACAAAATTTTTCTTTATTAAAACATACACTGAGATTTAAGCAGTACTATGAATTATCATACAGACAATCTAGTGAATGATGAATATGGAATGGAAAATGCCGATATGAGAAATATCCACAGAAAATTAAGCAGATGCTAAAGGTACACTGTTCCATTACAGAAAAACAAACATAATCACTAATCCAGGGAGTTTTGAGGAGAAAGTTGAAAATCTTCAGATTTCTTTTAAAAATTGTGCGAATATGTCAAATTAAGTATTAATTATCATATACGAACCCTAGTTACCTTGATTTTGCATCTAGGCATTTTTCTTTATATGAGAAAATTTAAAATGAAATCAAATTGTTTGAATATTGCTCTTTCTAGTGTCTAAACTTTGTGTTTAATTATCAATTTATTTTGGGGGCTTTGAAAGTTTATTTGCTTCTCTGGTGACCCCAAATGTGCCCACTCTTTCAAAAACCAGAGAAAGGGGTTGAAACACTTCTCCAATTTTAATAGAATTATTAGAAGTTTACCCGTTTTTTGTGGGTTTTTTTGTTTGTTTTTTATTTGCATTATCTGGTCTGCCGCATGTTCTTCTTTCTGTTATACATTATATTCTGTGTAATTGAAAGTTTAATTTCTTTTTAAATTTTGCAATTCTGTAAGATCAATGTTTCAAAATCATCATTCAATGTGAGAAATTTAAATAGCTGTTTGTTAAATTATAACACTTTTTATTTCTTTTGTTTAGTAGCTGTCCAATTTTGAAGGATATCAGTACTGAGACAGTCTGATATTACTAATATCGGACTGCCACAGGTAAATTTTTAGACTGCAAGAACAAAGGAATGACATCACAGCAATTTTTTAATCTATAATAACACCACTGTCTACCACACACGATCACAAACGTTTTAATTAGACCGTATAAAGCGAGGTCCCGTGTCGCAGTTGCTCCTGGTACGATGAAGAGCCCTCTCTGCTCTATGGTCACCAGTGCCGAGTATAGGAAAAAATTAGTAGCTCTCCATCGGCAAGTCGTGAATTCTCCATATGAATGAAAAATTTCGACGTTAAACAATATACATTCAATCAATCTTTTGGTTTAAGTCGGCTGAAGGTTATATGATCACTTGCCTAGTGTAGACATATTAAGTGACTTACAATGAAGTAATTGACAAGGAATTTTTTATATTCTGACTCTTCTCACTTTTTTCCTATTGTTAAATGAATAATATTTTCCACATATATTTAGTGAGTATATTTATGCTTAAAAGGATATTGCACATTATTCTAAAGGATTTCAGATCAAAAAGTGATATCTCTTATTTATTCAAATTTATTCGATCAAAAACTAATCAGAATTCTTTAGTGTGCAGTGTAGAGAGTATTCTTTGAAATATTATTCTTCCTACAAGCTGGTTTAAGCTCTCGACAAGTTGGTTTATTTTTAACTATTTCCCTAAGTTACTTTGTCATATTTGTTCTTCTTTGTCTTAATATATAGTTAAAATGGATATTTGGTGGACACTAAACTACCAGGAATACAGGATCTGGCTATTGGGTTGAGAAAGGTTAGCTTGATGTATTTATGTTAAGACTATATGTATATTTTAGGCGATTCTGTTATTATAATAAGCAGTGCGTTTCCTTGTAATCTTTAAACAGTACCTTTTTCTTGGGTACATGTACAATGTCAAATAAAATCAAGTTCCACTCGTGAATAATTACAGCCTGTCAGTGTTAGATATTTCTTTTCGAGGACAACACAATATATAAAGCTAACACATTGAATACAGTTGCTGCATCCTATATATCATTCTGCAGAGAAACCTGAATGTCCTGATGATTGACTGGGCGACAGGGACTAAGGAGGATTACGACCAAGCTGCCTCCAATACCCAGACAGTCGGGGCGTACGTGTACCAAGTTCTGAAACAAAACAGAATTCCCCTAGAAAAGGTTCATATTATTGGGCAAGGTCTTGGAGCACATGCCGCTGCACAGGTTGGAAGACTGTCGAGTGGGACAATTGGCCGTATAACAGGTGAACATTATAATCTCCGCTTTAATAAACATTCTTTTCAATTCGCGGATGCTAAAAGATTGAGTCATAGTAATGTGATTCTCGGTGCGTACTATTGTTTAAGCAATTAATGGTAAAGGATGTTCAAACAGAAGGTAATTGAATAAAATTCTGTGGGTGATAGAATATATCCTTCTAAGGTCTCGATCCATCCAGTCCTTTGTTTGAAAATTCCGAGTATGGAATTAACAAAGAATCTGCTCAGTTTGTGGACATTATTCACACGGATGCCCGACAAAACGGTGAGAGGAAAGCTTATTTAATTCATCTTTAACACAAAATGAAGAGGGTATTGGTATAAAGATATATGACTTGAACAGCAAACTTGATGTTAACTTGAAGAAAGAGTGACAATTATTATACAATATTCGAGAAAAAAAAAATTACATGTGACGCACAGCAGCATATGTTTTATTGAAGCGTTTCCATTATTTTATGATAGCATCATTTCTATATCCTAAATGTACTGAGAATAAGATTTTTGAACTTTCTATTGAAATGCATTTGTAAACAGTTTTACGTACATAAACAATACTGTCATTCAAATACTAGTATACCGGGTATTTCAATTGATGTAGGTTATGGGATGCAAAAGGCTTGCGGTGATGTTGATATTTATGCAAATGGAGGGAGACGTCAACCAGGATGTACTTATAACCCGAAGGAACCCGTCAGGATCCAGGATCTGAAGTGTAAATCAGAATGTCCTTAAGGACAGACGAGACGTTCCTCGATAATATATAATTTTTTCTGAAATTTTGCCATTGAAGAATTACTACATTAACATGTTTACTCACAAAAAAGTGGGATATCTTACCAGGCATACTCCGATCCACTGCCAGAGGATGGATTTTGTACATAATCCTTTAGGGAAAAAACTTAATTTGACAAAATCAAATTTTTAAAAACAATAAGAATCCAGTTAAGAAATCAGTAAGTTATTAAAATTTTGTATATTTTTTATGCATTATAAAGATATACAAAACAAATGTTTGGGGAACGTATCGTCTAACCTTAATTTTGTATTTATATACAAGCAATATCAAAACATCTCAGAAATGAATAGTCAATACTGCACGGGCACGTTTTTCAAATCACGTTTTTTTTTTTTTTTTAAAAATCATGAAAATATACAGGGTATAGCACAATACATGTTTAGATAAGTAAAATAAATATCTTTTATTGCCAAAAATTGTAACAGCGATCCTTGAAAATTTATAATCTCATGTTATACCAGGATTTCATATTTTCATCTTTACATACAAAGAAACAAAATTCCCAAAATATTAATTTATCACACTTTTTTTTAGAAATTTTCCAATATTTCTTTTACAGCCAAGATTAAGCAACATATTTCTTTCATTTGTAGAATGCATTTCTAAAGTAAGAGCAAAACAGCAATCTTAAAAGACACAATCAAATATATAATCCAACCTCTCTTTTAGATGCAACGTTTGAAAAAGCTTGTGGACACTTGAAGGCCATTGGATACTACGTGGAGTCTATTTCTGACAACTGCAAGCTGAGAGCCTGTGAGTGTACCTTCCAGAAATTCCTTCAGTCGAAATGTAGCTGGACTAAGTGTGTTTTCTGGGGTTTCAACGCCACGAAGAATGTCACGGGACAATATTACGGGGTGACCGCCACCTCTTTCCCGTACTGTAGAGTTAACGGAACTGAATAAATGTGTTCCTGTGACAATAAAAATTTGCTTTGCACATGCATATGTTTTATCTATTCTTTTTTATTATTATATGCTGGTTAGTAATTCTCATCAAGTACATGGTGAATTTCTGTTGAAATTGAGAAACTACTTCTATATACAAGAGTAACACTTGACAATCTTTTCTAATAAAGACATCATGAATTCCTTTAAAAAATTATAATAATAATACTAATAAATAATCAAGTAATATTTAATAAAACGTAGGGTGTGAACTCCTCTATATTCTAGTCATTAAAGACTTTTTGTTATATCTGATATGGGCAGAAAAATAATACTATACACTTATCCACTGCAAACCCTCGGTGAATAGTTCCCTGTCGCAGGTTTGATAAAGAGCCATCCCACTCAAAACCAGTGGATAAGCGTTTTATTATACTGATGTATAATATAATTTGTGAGGTTTGAATTTTTTTGTAGCAAGAGTAATCTGTAATCCTGATGAAGTCACAATGCCACTGAAGTCATTATGATTTCATCAGACAATAGATTTATCGCTGGAAATCAAAATTTGAGGTAAAAATTGGATGAAATTTTTTCGAGGGTGGATAGCAAAAACTATACCCCTGGGTATAGCTTTGCTATGCGTGAACTACAAAAGATAGCTATTTTACCTTCTGAACTTTATATAGCAAACATTTTAACAGAGGTATAATAAATGTAATTATTTTATGGGAAGGATTTACATTCCTAGGGAACTATTTGTTTAAACTGCGAGAATGATTTTCAATCCGAGATACTAGATTGTGTAAAATGATGGAACAAATTGACAATCTGTGCGAACAAATTGGCAATTCGTTATGTAATAGATTGTCAATCCGAGAGAACAGATTATATCATTCGAGATTTCGGTTTACCTTATACATTTTTGAAAATCCCCACGCTCTTCATGGCTTTAGGCAAATGATCAAGCCACAAATACAGGTACGAAAAACAGCACTATAAAATTGTCTTACTGAGTAGAGATTTTGAAATAATAGTTTGTTTTAAGTCCTTCTCGAGAATTTATCACCCTTATGGAGACGCTATCACTTTCCGGTGGAGGGCTGCTAAATTGACATATTCGAAAGTAAGGGCTATGCACCTACTGCGAATAATACCTCTATCTATATCTATATAATACGGCCTCATCAGTGGGAGCGTTCTCCATGTTCTGCAGCGGGATTACTATTTGCGATCTATGGGTCAAGTCCTTTTTCCACAGCTCTAGAGCCTGCTTTTGTGTGTATGAAATAGACATCGGTTACTGTATATTTCACATATTTCAGTTCATATATCTTTGGGGTTCTTAACACGTTTAACAGCAGCTTTAATGGAGCATTTCATTTATTTCTAGTTTACTTATTCTTTACCATTCATTTTTCCATTCATTTTGAAAACAGTGTCTCAAATATCCTTTGTTTTCCATCTTCGACAATGAATTTATGTGATGAAATATAAACTGTTATCAATTTATTACAACACTGGAAACCTGCTATTTTTATCCTCAAAACAAAGACTGAGAAAATTAGCATTTGTTTTTAAAACTGCAACAACAATACTTTAAATTATGTATCTTGGTGAAGTCTCCATGTGTGCCAAATAATAATGAAAATAGACCAACAATTTACTAACTGAAGCTGCATTTTGAGAGTATTTCAAAGAAGTTTCTATTTTTAGAAACCATGGTACAATTTTCGTCAAAATATTCATTAAAAACTTATATAATCAGAATTATGTACATTAGTGTAGTCTACTTGTGTGCCAAGTTATATTGAATTCAGACCAAAACTGTAGGAGAAGTAGCATTTTAAAAGTATTTCACAGATATTTCTACTTTTGAAACCATGACAACGTTAACATTGTTCGGAATCAAACACCGCATTATAGCTTTGCTCGTATAAATATTAGTGTAGTCTACTTGTGTACCAAATTATCTTATAATGGGATAAAAACTGTAAAAGGAGTAGCATTTTCAAATGAAAAATTATTTACAGACAGACAGAAAGACGACGGGCGGACGACGGACACCTTCCTATCACATAAGCTCTTCTGGTTTATGAGCAGTAGAGCTAAAATAGCATCATTAAAGTCATATCTTTAAAATAAAATCTTTTGAATCGTTTCCGTGGTACACCTATATCAACGTTTCCTTTTTTGAAATATCGACAAATTTTACCCTGACATTTATACTACTGTGGTTTCATCAATTTTCGTTGGCATCAATTTTCGTGGATTTTGTAAAACATACGTTTTCGAGGATACGTAATTTCGTGGATAAAAGTATTGCCTATACAAATGAACAACATATTTCCTAATTCACTGAACATTTAAATTCGTGACCATGGATTTGCTCAACAACGAAATCCTCGAAAATTGGTGCTCGATCAACGAATATTATTGAAACCACAGTATCTGAAAATTGGAATAAATTGTTTTTACATTTTCATTTCTTGATAAATTTGTTCTTATATCACCTCTTACTTTATTTTAAAACTTATTTATTAATACATGTGTAGTTTGCTAATTAAAAAAACGTGTGTTTTGTCTCTTGAATTTTCTTTCCTGTCCTGTGGAAGTGACTAAGTAGGAATGAACAAGTTCTCTCTTTGTTCGCTACTTCTTTTGCAACATGTTTGGTCGCAGAATATTTTTCAACGAACCCTTTGTTTCTTTGAATTGAATAATGTTTCTGCAAGCCATTTAACAAAAACTATGCAGGTTCATATTAAGGGGGGGGGGGCTATGTCTAAAAAGTCTTTGTTTGAGATTTTCAAACTTTGATATTAATTTTATTTCCTTGCCACTTGCTTTTAATTTTTAGGCATTAAGAATTATACCTCGATAATGCTAGTATCTACACAGGAGCACGTGCAAAACAATATAAAATGCTAAAAATAGATTATTTGCAGGTACCGTATAAGTAGAAATTTTAGCGAGGATTTAATTTTGGCATTATTAGCGAGGCTGTTGAGGTCGCTAAAATTTAATATCGCTAAAAATAAAATGTGTGTTATTTGTACTAGCTTCTCTAGTGAGCATTTTAAAATCGCTAAAATTACTTCTCGCTAAAAATAAAACACCAGTTTTTAAGGAGAAATCGCTAAATTTGCGTCTCGCTAAAATTTCCACTTATACGGTATTATTTTTCTACATATAAATGTGCTTAAAGGAACCAGAACCAAAAACAATAATTCACACTCAAAATCAACTTGTATTTAAATCATTTGACATTTACTTTTAAAATGAAGGTAAATTCATTGCAATTCATCTTGCATGAAAAGTTATGAAGGTGCGCATGGATATAAACAAGACAAAATAACGTTAAAAAATTACCGTTCCGATGAAAAAAAAAAACGCCCGGATACTGAAGCGTCCGGATATCTGGGGTCCGAATATCTGAAGACCATACAAGTACATTTAAAAAAATTTCTTAGTGTTATTGAGGAAATACAATTAATATACACGTGTAAAGCTTAAATTGTACATATTTTCCCTGATTTGAATCACATAATTTGCTGAATTTTATCTTTCTTTTTTGCACTCATATCAGCATATTATATTAAGGTAGTTTTACACAAGTGAAATCGCTAGGAATTATCGACCAACAGACAAAATTCTTATATTAATAAACTCTGTAAACATAAAAAAAAATAATTCAGCTAATAATAATGCATAAAATTTAATTTTCTTTTTTGTAAATTGTGTACGTTTTGTCTTAAAACAATATTATACAATTATCCACTGGCAGTGAGTGAAATAGCTCTTTTATCAAACACGCGACAGGAAATATTACCCTAGGGCTTGCCTTCGGCATCGGTGACAACACTCCAGAGCTTTCCTGTCACCTCGGGGCTAATATTCTGGTATGTCACCCTCGAAGCCATATATGTATAATATCACCATTGTCTACCACTTATTATGTACATTCAAAAAAGTTTTATTTTCCGTAATTTACAGGGGTTTGTTATTTAGGTTTTTGGCGGCTGAAGTTTATGTGATTCATTACTCTGTGTAGACATATTGGATGATTTAATTAAAGTAATTATTTTCTTGCATATATATTGAATGGATGTTTTATTTCTGAATCTTCTCATTTTTTAAAGACCTTGTTTCCTTTTGTTATAAATATAAAAATTTTCACATACATTTAGTGTGTATATTTATGCTTAACAGGATATTACGCACAATTTTAAAGGATTTTGGATCATAAAGTGATATCCCCTGTTTATTTACACTTATGAGATCAAAAACTCAGAAATCTTTAGTGTACACTGTAAAGACTTATCTCAGAAATATTATTCTTCCTTCTAGCTAGTATACGTTCTCGACAAGGAAGTTTTAAAATATTTACAATTTTTTCCCAAAGTTACTTTGCCAGGTTTGTTCTCCTTTTTCTTAATATAGTTTGAATGGGAGAGTAATGTCCTCAACATACATTCAACACGTGCTCCAAGTATATGTGGTCATCTATCTCAAGTGCTTATACTTCAGGAATAGTGATGATGACCAGACTCCATGACTCAATTTCAGTTTTTCAGCAGGAAGAAATCACTCAATAATTCATAGAACCATCATTTGTACACTTTTCTTTCGGAAACACATTAACATTTTTTGTTTTATCTATACACCAAGCTCTGGAGGTTTCATGAGAGTGCATAAATATGCGGCTTTTGAATAAAAAAGACTGTTGCTCGTTCAAAATTATTTTGATTATCGGTAATATTTGGGCAAAGTCAGAATTGAATGCCACCAAAAGCAATTGTCGTATCGGGTAGAGTTTTGCAAATATTTTGTTGTTTAGAGTCCTTCTCAAGAGTTTTTCACTCTTATGGAAAACCTGACGGTGAAGGGCTACAAATTTGACTTATGCTCAACACTCAGGGCTAAGCACCTTCTGCGACACTGGGCCTCGATCGGTTTATACGGTCTCATCTGAAGGACCGTTAAGTCCTAAACATCCTGTCGTGGAATTCAAATCCGCTTAAAAGGTCAAGTCCTCACTGCACTCTGCAATCCTAGAGAATACGCTCTTGCCATTTCACCACGCAGGCTTAAGAAACAGTGAAATATAATTATATTATATATAAAATAAAATTATGAAGTTTGATTAAAAATAAATATTGTTAATTTGACATTTTAAACTTTCTTGAAGAATCATTATACACTCATTTTGATAAAGACTTCAACATGCATTTAGAGTTTTGGGTGGGTTCTTTTTCGAAGATTTATCTAAAAATAGAATCATCTTTTAACAATTAGCATGATAAAAACACTTTCAGCTTCAGACAGTGGTGACATACATTATACAATGTGTTCGAAATGAGCCGATTTTGAAAGTTTATGGAATGTTATTTTTTTTTAAGAACAGTAGAAATTATTAAATATTCACCAATGTTACAAGTAATGATGATTTTACCGAGCTACTGAATTTAAGGATATTGATTCATCATAGTGGAACAGAATTTAAATATTCACCAATGTTACAAGTAATGATGATTTTACCGAGTTACTGAATTTAAGGATATTGATTCATCATAGTGGAACAGAAATGTTGGTGGCGTTAATTTTACTCAGTTATATTCACCAGTGAAAGTTCAGCATCCAAAACGTCATCGTTTTCTATCCTTAGATGGTAAAATTAGCTGTAAATAGCTAAATGTAACGCACAGGATACAAAAATTGAAGCACGACAAATACGGAAGTTTAAAAAAATATGGGATCACGTGTCGTGCAGGAATAAACATCCTCTGTTGACCGGTCAAACCCGCAGGGTGTTCATTGACATGATTGGACAAACGGAAATATCCTTTGACAACTCATACCAAGCAATAAAATAAAAAAGCCGGCCAGTACTTACATTAATGATAGATTTTATTTGTTGTCATGGTCATTGTTTTGACATTCATGGTACATGTACTTGCAAAACAAAGACTTTAAATTTTAGGAGGAATACCACTCTGTTCTAAATTTCCCAGTTTATTTTTAACTTCCCAACATTGATTTTCTTAGCTTTCAGTACTGCAGCATTAGATTCAATTGTAACATAAGTAAAACTGGATGAAAATAAAGCGGTGCCTTTTTTTCAGACAGACCATAACGCATAGAAAGAGTAATAATCTATTATCACAACATAAATCTAAAATTGTGAGATGTATATGAAAATATATTTATTGACATACTTATTACATTAATATGGAAAAAAAAACGACGCACTGCTTTCTGAGTCAGAATATCACAACTTTATAAGTGCATGTAAAGAAGAATGCATTATTAAGAATAACATTTCTTAATTTATTTTAAATTATCGACAAACATGTTGATGAAACAAGAATTTCAGCAGCCGTGTTTAAAGTCATCATTTCGTAAGTTCTATAGTCGATACAATGACCTTGTCAGCAAATATAATTTAACATTAAGTCAAATGCTGACTGACGCTTTTCATACTAATTGTTAGTCAATTATTTATATACTGTACTGATGACGGATTTTCCGTTATTTCCACGTTTTCACATTTTTTTTATTCTTAAACAATTAGAATATTTCTATTACCGGGTAAAATAAGATAAAAGTCAATACTTACACGTCAGGTGTCAAATAGGTTTATGAGCCAATTACACATTGCAAGATCTTGAAGTTAAATTTAATTCTTATAACATTAACAACTTTGTAATTATAACACCTGTAATAGTATCGCATAAAATAATTAGACGAAGAATCGACGCAATGGAAAATACATTTAGTAAACAATACAATTTGTTGAGAGATGTTAGACTCTGGTTAGAATTACATTTCTATATACAATCATGCATAGGATCATAGTTTTTTGAAAAAGATAAATGATTAATGTGATACACGGAATCTAATCTATCTCCTTCATTTTGAAATCGTGCTACACCAAGTTTTATAAACCCTCCCTCTGAATAAGTACACGATGCATATTTCTTGGGCACATGGAATTTGAAGTTTACTAGAACTGATCTCATATCCCCAATCATCAGCTCATCCATATCAAGTTTACACGTATAATAATGTGTAATGGGAACTATTGGTTTAGCACCATTTGGACACGTCTTTCGTATTGTTTCCTGCTTCAGAGGCTCTTGACGAGCACAATTTTTATTATTGTTATTTAGCATTCCCAAAACAACTTGATTAATCCTATCTATGAGTTGCATCTTCCTTTCACGCAAAACTTGTTCATTTTCGGCACGCACAAGTAAAAAAGTGTGGAGTTTTCGTTTGTAGTCATTGTGTACGGCCTGTGGGAGAAGATCAAGTAGAGAATTGTAACTAATTTCTTTGTTCGCCAGCAGTCCTGTAACATGTTTATCTACAAAGAATTGTTCTACGGATCGCTTCTTTCTCTTTGGTTGTTTTGCATATTGTATAGGTGAGCCATATGAAATTGTTATTTCGGCAAAAATCAAACAAGTGAGAATAGAAATATTCCAGAACACAGCCATGGTTTATCATATACTTTCGCAACTCGTTCACAGTAAGAAGTGAATCAACTTATATTACTGCAGTCAATGGTTTAATACTTTAACCACAGTAAAGATCATGTGATTATTTTACATCCTGGTTTAGATCAAAATATCATAGTAAAAGAAAGTGAAAATCTATTTTCCTCTTATGTCTTCCCAGAGAGTATAAATATATAATTTGAGTACAGATAATATAAATAAACAACTGACATATTTTTTAATGAATAAGATTAGAATCTAATACCACGTAAAAAAAAAATTAAAAAGCTGAAATATGACCGAGTATGACTGCTCATTAAAGCCATATATGGCGTAACTGATCAAAAAAATATATATTTTTGAAAAATACAAAACTAAGTAAAGAAATATAGTTAATACATTTAAAATAAAGCTTTTCATACAATTCTGAACACGGAGAACACCTCATTTCATCTAATAACACGATTTTACCTTCTCTGTAACGTGTTATTTAAATCTTTTGTATTTTCTTCCGAGTCGAAGAAAATGCCGAGAATCCAAATTAAATTGTGATATCTTTATAACGCAATTGACTTAGATTTTGTAATTTACGGAAAAGTTCTATCTTTATATAAAGTAATGATACAAATATTTAAGTTCTTATAATTTTAGTCTAATAATTTTCATTGTACATACGCCACATATGGCTTTAAAGGGCAATATATTAATTCCAATCCAGTGATGTGGCATTGTTTTTGAAAAGGGGCAGCCGAAGAATTTTTTTATTTAGCTAAAATACTTGACTAGCAAAAAAAAAGTGAAATTGGCCATGTCCGACAATACTATTTCGCGGTGGGAAGGGGTATGTGGGGGCTTAGAGGCCAGCTTGTATCAACATAGGAAAGGAAATTATGATCATTGTTCGTCATCGATCTAAATGTCGAGTTGAAGGCCACAGCAAGTGGTTTTTTTTCTTTTCATGCTTTAGATTTTGTTCTAATTCTGCTTCATATAAATACAAATTTAGGTTTGCTCATAACAGGGTGCAATTGGTAGCACCTATAAAAATTTACATTTTTACACTTTAAATTTAATTTTTTTTCTGCTTTACATGGAACTTTATCCAGAAAAGAGTCAATAAATAACACAATTTCAAACCTTTTATTGAGGTAAAATTTTATTTTAAATGTATATAAATATAAATAATTTATGTACAAATAATAATTTACAACTGAGTTTTAAAAAAATGAATAAGAAATCTAATACCATGTAAAAAGCTAAATTATATTCAGGTATGACAGCTTAGTCTGAGGAATATTTTAAAATATCATTTTTCTTTTACAGTCTTCAACAAAAAGAAATTTAATTTTGATAGTTTCACTAGAATTTTCAAAAATGATGTTTCTTTTTATTTTAATGAGATTACAGTAGTGTTACTTTCTTTCCGCATATAAAACTCGATTAAAAAAAAAAAACATGTAAAAGTCTGAAAGCATTCAGGATTTACTCATGATTTTGAAAATTGAGTGTATTCTCACACATCCATAAAACTCTGATAGATATTTGATATAAATGCTGCTGTCTTTCATCAGAGGACCTTTGAATCAGTAAAAGTTACATGAAACAATAAAACACATATGAAAATTTTGTTCTAATTTTCTGACAAATTAAAACAGAACAAAACATTTTGAAGCATTTGTTTCAATTTTGCTAAATTTGCAAATTGTTATTGAAAATTTATAGAAAATACTTCGGAGAAATTTTTTTAGAGGTCATATTGCAGGATTCTAAATTCTTGAGAAATAAGATATAAGAAAAAATCCTTTTCATGTATAAATGTGTTTGGTGTTTGGCAGTAAAGGTTTTTGTTATCATTCACTCCAAAACAGCTGACAGTCGTTAGCAATAGACAGATGATCCATGATTACAACACTTAACACTCGGGAACGATTTGTGCTATCGAATTAATGGGACCCCCCCCCCCCCCCCCAAAAAAAAGAGAGCACAGGCCATGCAGTATCACAGTCGCAAATGGAAAAACAAAGATAAAATCCATAATATCAAATCTGGCTACTCCCAGGCCAAATCATCTTTTCGTAACGTGGTCTGTAATTTTTTCATGTCTTTTAACACATTTAATGACACCTCCCTGGCATTAGTAGGTTGTACGTGAACGACGCCCGCTGACCGGCCCCGAGTTTTTATCGTCGTGGTCACTTCCACTTCCCCGTTCTGGTGGCTGTATGCGTTTGCCGAGGCTGACCGTCGTTTAGACGGGTCCATCGTCTTCTTTTTCTTCTTCTTTTGATCTATCTAAATAAAGAACAGAAATATGCTTCACAGAGTTGTCTACCTTTGTATGCAAATTGAGGATTTTAAATTCAAAAGATATGTACGTGTATGAATGGAAGTTTAGGGTACAATTTACACAACAAAATGAACTAAACTGACATGGAAAAATTGTTAACAAACATGAGAATAACAAATGCATTCAGTCATTTCAGAGAAGTGTATTCATTGACACTGAGAGTAAGAAAAACACATAAGGTCAAGATCTAGTAAATGTAAGGTGCCTACAGATTTATCAATCTTGAGAAATAAATTCCTTTATTGATGCTTTACAACTTTAGCTTGGTCAAATAAGGTGTTTCGGGGCATAATTTGTAGATTAACAAGATGAAAATCTGTATTTTAAACTGTCATTTGAATGAAAAATTAAGAAAACAGTCATGAATATGGGAGTTTTTCTTATATTCAACAAAGGAAATGTATCCAGATTGCCTACAGTCTCTCAGAAAATGGTAATTAGTATGTTCATGGCCTCTTATTTAAATTAATATCAAATTTAATATAGGTATCCAGTTTACTTTTCATATGATTTCCGTTTGGATGTCATGAAAATACCCTATTTTCTGCATAATTCTGCTAAAGCCATAACACTACTGGACTTGAAATTCCCTGATATTCTGATTATTCTCTGAAAATATCTGATAGACTCTGTATTTTCACTGTAAATCACTGTACTTGCCTCTGTACAACACAGTACATTACAGTACATCACTGTACAGAATCACAGCATTTCCCAGCACCTCCCTGTACTTCACAGTACATTTCCTCTGTACATCACAGTACTCTACAGTACCTCCTAGTACACAGTCACTGTTTTCCACTGTACGTCACAGATTTTTGCTGTACAGATTACTGTACGTCACAGTACATTACTATTATTCCCTGTACACATATACTGTACATTACAGTACATCACAGTATTTCACAGTACACATAACTGTACATTACTGTACTGCACAGTTTTACACTGTCTTTTCCCCCATTGAGTTTTATTTAATAAAAAGTCTTAATTCTAGTAAATGTCTGAATTTGTAATAATTCTGTTATCAAAGTTTTGTTTTGTATTGATATTTTTCATCCTAAGTATTTCCGTGTAAGCATTTTGGAGGTTAAATTTCCAATATCACACCCGTTAAAAGAAAAAAAAAAGGCCAAGACAAGAGTTTGATTTAAAACGGCTTCTTTTTTTTTTTTTTTTTTAAATCCTTAATCAATATTTTTTTTCAGATGACTAAATATTTCATTTCTCTATGTTTCCGTGTACAGAGGACCAATATAATAAACCGAGAAATACCCCGTTACCTTTATGTTGAAATTTAGTTCTTTGAGTTTACTTAATTATCTAAATCCGCTGAAAATTTTATTTTCTGCTTTCTTTCTTTTGTAAATTAAAAACCAATAGCATTTACCTCTGCTCTAACTCTATTCACTTAAACTTATTAAGAAACAATTATGAATGCAGTGATCATGTACTAGATAAATTTCAATCATGTATAGTTATGTATTTTCCTCTTCTTTTTATTTTTTTTGTATCTAAACACACAATCAAATGTAACAAAAGTTTTTTTCCTCTCTTTCAAGATAATACGGTTTATTCCCATCTCGCCTTAACTGTAAAATTCCCGTTTCGCCTTTAAAGTAGTAAGCTCTTAGGTGAATTAAGGAAATGAAGATTTAATATATTCAGCATAAAGTATTTTTTTGGTATAACATGTATTATTTCATTCGCAGCATTCATAAATTGCCATTAATTATTAAATTAAAATTTTAAATGAATATATCATTTAATTTTTTTATATCAACCCAGTAATAATATTCACAAATACTAAAATTCCCATTTCGCCTAAGTATTTTTTTAATGAAGAAAAGACTAAAGGATCGTTTTGTTATTATATAATCCTAATTAATCTTACATAATCTGAAAAAATTAATTTAGCATTGTACAGCATCGTATGTACAATTGCTAGGGCATTTATAAAGTTTGTATTTTTTCACATGAACTGATAATGCACACATATATCTATAAATCTGAATTCTTAATAAATCATGATCTCAAGTTAAAATAAATTGAGTGATGTCAAACTGCACAAATATTAAGTGTAAATAAAATAAATTTACAGTTAAAAACGAACTTAGACTAAGTTATGTTCGTAAAAAAGCATTTTTCGTTGAGTCTACCTTAATCAATCTTAAATGATTTAAAATTTTTATTGATATGGTATGACTTATATATTAATAATTTTTTTTTTCAAGAATTACCTTCAAATTTTAAGTAGCAATCTTTCACTAATGACATTGCAATACTTCCTTCTATTCAAAAACATTCTTAGAACTATTATTAGGAAAATTATAAAAGAGTTGAGTTTAGTTAAATAACAAAATTTTTAAATGAAAAGTGTCAAGAAAGATTAAACTAGTACAGTTTAATAATTCTAAAATGTATTTATGAAAGATCCAGCTTAAATTCACTTCGAACAATAAATTGTAATATTTTAACAATTACTTTTTATTTATTTTTTTTTTTATTATAATTACACTTTACTTGAAACACGAGAGAGAGAGAGAAGATATTTTTTCGAATCCACGTGTCACTTCAATGTTGCGTAATATTGCATGTTTGTATATACATGTAGCCGGCCAGTGTCCATGGCGGCAGTGACACCTGTCGTCTTACTGTTCGGGGTACTTCCCGGCGCTACCGATAGTGTGTACACACTTTTGTTCGCAAACAAGCGATGCTACATGTAGATTTACCAATTTCTGAAATCTTTTTAACCTGACAAAAATACTCTCGAAAATTTGGTATCAAATAATTGTCGCAGACACTATTAAGATTACATGTACATTACATTCTGACTTAAATTAGCTAAGATAGAAACTACTTTTGACAGAAATTAAAAAAATATTTTCTAGCAACAGAATAAAAGTCAGTGTTAATGAACGATGATTACTAATATATGTTTCTCTGTTACTCGCGATTACATTTTTTATATTCAAAAATATTTACTCTGTCAGTCTAAATACTAGCTTATAGCACTATCATAGTGCCTTACAAATTTTAACAAGTCCCTTAATATATCTCTGTAAACCTAAAAAAAAATCTATTTTAGTTATTTTGTTTTTACGAATCAAACTTCATGCAATCTATCATCAATGAGAAATGTTGATATTTGACATTCCCTCCTTTGATATGATATTTTAAAAAGAATAAGAAAGAAAATAGAGATAAGGAAATCCAATTCCAATCATTGATATTGTCAAAAAATTTCATGCATCTTAAATAATGTCGCGTGATTGCCCCCCTCCCCCCGAAAAATAAAAACAATCAAGGTTTCCTTAAGTTTAAATATAAAATTCAACCGTGATCCCCTAAAATCAGTCATGGCACGTTTGAGTATAACAATGCAGAGATCTGATGGCACGAAACTGATGGCCCCGGGCAATTCACCGGCTTTAATTTGATAAAATATTATTTTTTCCTTTTGCATGCAAGACCCTTTGAGAACTTTAAATTCAATTAGTAAATGCTAAAATTACCAATGAATTATAACAAATTTACATTTAAACTGTGAAGCAATGAGGGATCTTTCTCGCTCCCGTGCCATCAGTTCCGTGCCATCAAATCCTTGCAATCGTGCCATGACGGACTACCAATGCACAAAGCTATAGGAAGTAATCAAAGTTACTTATTATTATGTCAACCAATATTCTGTTGTTGTTGATTATTTATTTGTTTGATTATTTTTCTTTATTATTATTTTGATCTATTACACGGCACATTACTCAGCAGTGGGGGACCTTTCTTGTTCGCTGATCTTAGGCCCCGTGTCTTCAGCTCCTCAGTAAACCGTTCTTCTCAAACATGTTCAATATACCAGGGGTATACAATATTTAATTGCCTAGTTTTTGTGAAAAAAATAAACAAATATATTCTACATTAAGGGATCATGTACTCGCACGCAGGGTCTGTGTCTGTCTGTAGCTCCTTAGCATATTTTTTTGCTCCGACGTGCGATACTGATTCTCTCAACACAAATTTAAAACATACACATAGAAATTATTTATTATTGTGATAATTTCATCCAAGAGTCTGAACTTATGGGTATTGTGATCTGGACGCATTTAAGGAAGAAAACATACCAAAAAAATCCTTATTAGGAAAGATAACCACTGCTGACAAACTGGAAAAACGGCTTCAATCAACAAAATATTTATTTACTAACAAATCGATAAAACTCAAATATTACATGCTACATGTATTACTTCATACAATATATTATATAATCCATTTTTTAAACGCGATTCTGAATGAATTTTTTTCTTGGAACTTACTTAAACGATATTATTTTCATTAAATGCCGTATTTACATCTTATATGCATCAACACCCCCCCCCCCCTCCCCAACTCCCCCATTTGAAGGACTTCCTATAAGGCCTATTTGATGTGGATGAACTTAATTCTGACTGCACATGTATCTCAAGTTTCCAATAACTTTTGACAAAATACTACTTTGTAATTACTTAATGTATGATTCATTATTGTTTATTGATGTATCCTCTATCTACTTTCTCACTCTTTCTCTGTGTGTTTTATTCTTATGATTTACCTGTATCTTACAAAATTCTATAATCAATTTCTCTCTGCACTTCTCTCTCTCTCTATCTCTCTCTCTCTCTGGGTTAATTCAATTTTTGTATACATGTACTTTTTTTCCTATTTTTATCAGTTTATACATTGTGTCTCTAGTACAATATCTATGTACTACAGTTTTTAATTCAAACATTTTTTTTCTATTTAAAAAGCATGAATTCTTTCTTCTTGATTGTCAAAAAAGTTATGGTTGTTGTTATGTATAGAGATTTGTGAAAATTCCACCTTGTTCTGAGTGGTTAGTTAGTTTGTATATTTGCAACTTACATCACTTGTGAGACGCGAGCCCAGAACAAAAGGCAATTAGGGTCTATTGTTAAACTGACCATAGCAAATAACATGTGATATACAAGAACTTACCTTGGTTCTACCCGAGTGCGTAAGCATGTGAAAGAAAAGGCGCGGATCAAGGATTTTTGATAGAAATTTATTATAATAGTTTACTTTTATCCGTATTTTCTCATGAAATTCTACAGGATACCTGGTACAGTTATAAAATATCCTGGCGTATTGTTTTTATGCGAGCTATTTAGATGTTATTTTATTAAATAAATTTATTGCAAACTTTGAAGAATATAAGCAAATAGGGGCTTAAAATGTTAGCATACGTGTCTATAAATAAAATGATATAACCCATATTGCACTTTTGTGTAACTATTTTATTTATATGCCGTAATGTGGAAAGGGTGCAGTTCTTTAAAAAAATATTAACGTCTTATGCTTTCGCTCTGAATATAGTATCAATACCCAATCAGTATTGGCTATAAATATCCATTGGATATTCCAAACAATAAAAATACGATTGTCTGTCTTTCAAAAAAAAAAAATTAACAAGTTGCATATTTTGGTAGCAAATACATTTATTCGTTGGTTGAACCCATCTGTCAGTAGCTGTGTATTTCCACAAAATATCAATGAAATTACGTAGCGTTTTTCAGTAAAAATCTGTAAGAGAGTGGCCATATTTATGGAAGAAAAAAATTCGTTTGATCCACCCATTCATTTCAAAATTCATGCATCTGGTTGACAGAGATCTTAATTTTCTTTCGAAAAAGTCTTTGTTAATAACCGATTACGGCTTTGATTAATCTACAGATAAAATGTGCATTAGTGAAAAGACTAGAATTTCTAACAACAACTAAAACCATCGGGTGAATTCCGTTGAATTAATGATTTTGGATATTTTCACTACAGTTGTACTTCAAAAGTATTTTCCAAGTTTAGCAACCAAAAAATTATGTTCTACCGTGCAGAATGGGAAAAATAGGTTGGAAATACAATATGGTCGAAAATAAGATACGAGACGATACAAAGTTTGTTGATAAAATACATGTAGTTATATTATTCAATTAAAAATTTCAACCAAATAAATGTTTTAATCTTGTCCAAAATAATTTGATGGCTTATCCGAGTTGTCTGAAATTTGTTCTTCAACCTTCACTTTTTCTCAGCCACATTTCTCACCTATCTCGATTTTATTTCCAAATGTCTGAATGCCGAATACTAATGTAGTATTCTGCATAACGTTATGGATTTACACATTGAGCATAATAATTATTACATATTTTTCCAACCATTTTGACCAGTGAAATATGTCTTTTATAACGGTGAATGCATTTCTTATACAATTATGCACGTAATTCGTTAATTATTAGCTAGGCTAAGAGTTTGCGTCATATTATACTGCAGATTTGGCTTGTACATCTGATCTTATTAAATACAAGTGTATATGAAGTGATTTTTCAGAGTAAAATAAAAGTTTACTTATTTAAGGTAGATGTCGTAATACATATCCACTAGTACCATATTGACATTTATTACCATTTAGATCCCCCTTTCTCCCATTGAACCTGGGTTGCATGGGCCAATGTGGACATTTTACTATCAAAAATTCACTAAATCTAATTAATTTTTTTTTTTCAAAATTAATTTTCTTTTGTTACTCTCAACTCAATTAATGACAGAAGAAACAAAAAGAGTAATCTTACACTCGATCTATTGTTTGCATTTTCCGACTCACAGTAAACCAAAATACAAAAATATATAGTACAATGCTGGTACTTTATTTTAGTTTTTTTTCATCTTTTCCAAATTAATCTTAGATAAATAATAATGTATTTTTTACTCTCCATATGGTCATGGAGTTGACACATATGATCAACTTCTACAATGTACAGCATTTACAGATGATGGTAGATATGCCTTAATAAAATACTAATTCTAAATTAAATAATCTTTCTTTGAAATCAAATATCTGGTAAATAAAAGAGAAGATATTTTGAAATCAAATATCTGGTAAATAAAAGAGAAGATATTTTTAATTTAATTGATCAGTCAATTCAAAACTTTAAGACTAGAGAAATCATGATTATTTAATATTATTATGATATTACGTATAATCAATAATTAGAATTTTTTTTTTCTTACTTTTTATACATGGCATTATTGTATTCTAAGCACACTTATCAGCGCAAAATTATCACTCTCAAAATAAATAATTTATTTACTAAGATTAAAATACCACCGTCTTTATCTAAACAATTAGTGAAGTTTAAAAAATGTAAAATTTAAGAACTACAGAAGTTTAACAAGTTTAAAAAAAATCACAGTATGGTTCAGTAATGTACAGTGTCAAACTGGGATGCGTACATTGAACTTCAGTGATGTACAGTGCCAGTCTGGGATGCGTGCAGTGATCAACAGTAGTGTACTGTGCTGTACAGAGATTGAGTACTGTACGCGTCTGTGATGTACAGTGTTGTACTGTGGAGGCGTACAATGAGAGACAGTGGTGTACTGTGCTGTACAGTGGGGACGTACAGTAATGTACAGGGATGTACAAAAAATAACAGTGAGTCTGTACTGTGATTTACCGAGGATTACAGTAGGTACAGGGAATTTGTACAGTGACTGTACAGTGCTTAAACAGAGAAAATCAGAACTTTAACAGTGGGTAACAGAGTTTATCAGAGATTTTTCAGAATATCAGGGAAATTTAAGTTCAGTAGTGTAAAGTACAGGAAAAAGAAAGTTGAAATTGATTATGATGTCATAATGGATCTAGCACCAAAAAAGTAGTCTCAAGTTATTTACTAGATCTTGACCAAAAGGATTTTGAACAATTTTGATATAATTAAAAGTTATGACTATATCAAAACCAAGAAATTGATAAATTTGTGGAAGCTAGAGCATTTTTTTTTCCTAATTATGAATCATATACAAAATTTGAAAATTTGTTTTTTATTTGCTTCTCTAGATCTTAGTCAGGCTTTGTTATTTTGCTTACTTTGTTTTCATGTCTGTATTTTGGAGATTTGCTGACTGACTGAGCTTACTTTATTTTGATGTCGCCGTATTTTAGAGATTTGCTGACTAGACTTACTTTATTTTGATGTCGCCGTATTTTAGAGATTTGCTGACTATACTTACTTTATTTTGATGTCGTCGTATTTTAGAGATTTGCTGACTATACTTACTTTATTTTGATGTCGACATATTTTAGAGATTTGCTGACTATATTTACTTTATTTTGATGTCGTCGTATTTTGGAGATTTGCTGACTATACTTACTTTATTTTGATGTCGTCGTATTTTGGAGATTTGCTGACTATACTTACTTTATTTTGATGTCGTCGTATTTTGGAGATTTGCTGACTCTTGCTCTCCATCCGCGTCACCAGTGCGTCGAGCTCTCTCTCCAGGTCCTCTCTGATCTGGGGGTCTGTGGCCTCACTGATCTCGTGGGACAGCTCCTGGTGCTCACTGAAACACAAAGGAAGAACTCAAAAATCTGTCTCAGCTACAGCGTGTACATGCACAACATCATTCCCTTATATGATTAATTAAGGGATAAAATAAGACACCGATTTACATCATCATGATAGTGTGAAATATTGTATGTCTTGCACGTAATATGCCATACATTATACATAACATCCATTTTAAGTCTTGTAGGTAGAAATAAAATCCACACTTACCAGCTCATCTGTCCAAACTCGTCCTGAAGCTGTAGTAGGAGCTCGGCGAGGTCTGTGTCGATACTCCCCGAGGAGGAGGATCCAGAGGACGGACTGGAGGATCTAGAGTGGTGGTCCATACCGTTACACAGCGCCATGTTGTGGGACTTCATCAGGGAGAGCACCCGCTGTACATTGGCCCCCACTGAGTGACTAGCTGTCAGGGACTGTAAATAGATATTTCAAGTTTTATTCCCAATTGTAATTTTTTATGATTAACAAGTCATTTTGCTTAAGAGTTTGCTAATGAGCATAAACATTAAAATTGTAAAATGCACTGTAGGGTGATTTTGACATTTAAATTAAAATTGTTTGTCCACTGACTTAGAAAAATTCTGAATTATTTATACAATGTACTTTCTACACATTTTGCAAAAAAAATTTACCTGACATGAAGTTTCTACTGTGACTTACTTTTCCTGCTACAAATGGGATGTCGGCAAGATTGAGTCTGTAATGCTTGCTGTGATCTGTGGGCGGGGCTGGCTTCTGTTTCTTATTTGCCGAGGCTTTCCGCCGTTTTTTCGTTTTCTTGGCTTTCTGTGTTAATCTGTCTATGCTCTCTGCATTCCGTAATATTCGAGCTGACTCTGCCATGGATTCTTGCTGTGATGTACAAAAGAAAAAAGTCAGCAATTGTGAATCATAATTCTTTCAACTGAGTGAAGATTTAAATAAAGCAAAACTTGTTTATTACAGACACAGATATGTGAATTCATGAATTTGCAAAGTTTTTTTAATCCCCAAATATATTATTTTTTGCAAATTCCTTAAACTGAATACAGATATAAAGAAAGACAGATATAGCAAAGTAATTTCACAGGTCCAAGTGACTTTGTTATAACCAAAAATTTGATATGTATATGCTGCCATACAAAACTTTGCACTTGTCTTTAATTTACCTAGAAGCTGTCAAGATCAAAGATATCAAGGCCATGTGAAAGGTGACTTACATACAAGTAATTTCATGACAAGAAGTGGATATTCTTCATCCCTGAAAATGAAATGACCTGCCTTATTTCTCTCTCAGTCATATAATTATATACTTACTTCTACAGTTTTGTCCTCCATTAATCTACGTCGATGTTTCTCTTCCTGCAGTTTCTCTTCCAATTCACGGATTTTGTTCTAAAAAATCATTAAAAAAAAAATTACAGTTGACTGTAAACATGGATAATGTGAAACAAAAGAGCAGATGAAAGCTTTCAGTTCATCTCAGAATTCATTAGTTTCATATGTATGAAGCTGTTAATGTATGAATTGTAAAAGTATGCATTTAAATCAACATATAGTTGTTCTTTCTTTTTGGTTTTTTCCTCTGTGTGTGTGTGTGTGTGTGTGTGTGTGGGGGGGGGGGGGGGGGGGGGGGGGTACCAAATCTAAAATTAACTGTATTGCTTACACTTCCAAGAACAATCATGAAAGCTAGCTGAATATTCAGACTAGTATGTACTACCATAACGTAGCTATTTTGGGTAACTCATGAAATAACAGTTCACTTTTGTTTACCCAGATAAGCCTGATACACTCAATTGTGTAAAGTCACACATGCCTGATAGTAAATGGTATGCAGAACAGCTGTGTAAAAAGGGTATTGTATCAAAACTCAGAAACCAAACCAGGCGGGATTTAAATGTAATGATTAGACACAAACTTCACAGCTATTTAAACTCCAAGTATGTTAGTGAGAGTAAACTAAACATAAAATTACTCAAAATTGGTTTTTTAAAATACTTCCACGATAATTAGCGTTGACAGAAGAGGACCCTTGACATTTAAATGAAAAAAAGGAAATTTTCTGCTCAATCATCAAGATCCTGTAAAACACATGTGTGGCCCTTTCTTTTTTTTAGACTGAATTATTTGTTTTTCCTTTTTAAAAATAAATTTAAGAACTTTTAAACTTCTTGCAATGTATCAAACAATAGCTAATTAGTGTGCACTTCAACACTTGAGGGATATGACACATGTGGAACAAAGATTTTCAGTTCTTATGAGCCAGTTAAACATGTCAAAGTTTGCATGCCCTAAAAAGTCCACCTACTATCCTAGATTTATATTGTTCATATTTCCTTCTTCAAATTAAAAAATATTGATAATAGTAACTTTATTCTACTTAAAATGTGTACCCAGCAAACCATTTCAGCACTGTTTAAATGTACATATTCTATTAATTTTTCAATAACATAAGTTTTCCTTCATTCAGAATTACTGCTAAATCACTCCCTGACTGAGAAAATTATCCTGTTCTGTACGGGTTTATTTGCAATGCATACATGATGAGTCAGGATTCTCCAATTCCATTATAACAGACAAAGCCATCCCATTCACTGAGAAGAATAACGGCTTCCTAACACATTGAAAAGCTGGAAGTGGGCTTTCATTCTCATTCTGAGATATTCATTTATTTTCTCGTCAGACAAATTATGAAATTTAAAATGACTCTCTGGGGCAAGCCCTATTATGAATGTTTTATAACGCCCATAAAAAATAAAATAAGCCATTGATTTTATTTGGCTTGGAATATCAATGCCTTCTCTGTATTTCAAATAGTTTGGTGCTGCTCATAAACTTTCCAATATTAAAAGTTTTATATCATTTTTATTATAGTGAAATTTATTATCTGGAAGTTTATTCTATACTTTGGTGAATGAACAATTTAAAGGGAAATTAGCAATAATAAAAAAATGGCATGCATGCATGTTTCGACATGCAAATTGCACATTGCAATTTGTGAAATAAAATAAAAATGGCTTCATATTAAATCACATTGAACTTTGCTAATTGAAATCAAATCTTTACACCAGAAACTTTGCAACTTTATGATGACAATAGGTGAAAAAACAGTAACCATGTTTATACAAATGCTCATTAGTTCTATTTTTCATGTTTCTTCAAAATGTCTATTGTTAAGCCTACATCTTCCTCTCAAATTTTAATTCCAATTTGTTAGTTAAACAACATTTGAGACATTTATTTAATTTTTAAATGAAGAAGTCCATGACAAGACCAGATTCTTACTCAGGGAAGTGTTTGAGATATTCTGCTCTCTCAATCTTATATCTAAATGAGTTTACAATGTCCCTAGACCTTACCTCTGACTGATTTTGAAATGTCTCCACACAACCCCTTACCTCTGAGAGAGTTTGAGATGCTGTGAGTCTGAGATGCTCCCGCTCCAGCTCCATCAGTTTTTCCCGCTGCCTGAGATATTCGGGGGAGGGGCCAGGCTGGGGTGAGGGCTGTATGACCTTGTCCACACGGTCGGTCACTGCGGCCTTGATCACCGCCTCCTGGCGGTCATTCTCAGCCGTCTGTACCATCCTTCTCATGTAGTCCAGCTGTTTCTCCAGGAGATGACTCCGTGTCTCAGCGGCCGTTAACTGGGTCTCAAGTTCTGTACAAATCAGAAAATTAATGTTTTATGCTATTGCTTAGTTTTCATAGAGTTTGTGAATTCAAGTACATTAGCCCAGTTAGTAGGTTACTAAGCCCAGTACAGCCTGGAACATGGAATCTTCAAGAGAATCTTAATCCAGTCAAATATAGTGACTTGTTTGGTACAATCAAATCTGACTCTGTATCAGACACAATTATTCATATTTACAAGCAAGCTAGCTTTATTTAATATGAAAGCTTTTACAAGTACTATAAAATCAAAGTCAAAATTAGGGTTCCATTTATTCACTTGACTAAAAAAAATAATTTTTTATACTGGAGTCTGATCAAGTCCTGTATAGAAAAGTTCCACATCTACTTAATCATGTTGATGAACGTAGGCTAAAATTATTCCATGAAAGTAAGAGTTACCAATGAAAGGATTTTTGAGTTGTACAAAGTCTGAGTCAGAAATCCTAAACATAGTAACTTTCAATCATGCGTGCAGGTGGTACCTTGAGTATTTTTGGACACGGTTGACTGGCCAGGCGAATTCTGTGGCTCCTTCTGTAAAATGTTTTTGTATTTCGTTGTCTCCGCCGCCAGAGATTTCAGATTGTTCTCGGCCGTACCTCGCTCCACTTCCAGTTTACGAATCTTTTCTTGGAGATTCTTTAGTGCTGATATCACAGCTGTAACAAGAAATAATAAACATTAAAGTCACTAAATTCACTCTCTGAATCTGTTCACTGAGGTATCATTATTTTAATAGGTTTATCGTCTTTATACAATTACTTGCAGCGCTTAGCTCACCTAAAATGTTCCAGTTAAGGAGACAGGGCATATAGCTGTTATTAATAAAATTATTATTTTCCTAGAATTTTATAATTTCTACCTGTTCTGTTGTTTTCTGGGAATGGTTTGACAGGTTTAGATGAATCAAAGCGATAATCGTCGTTGATGAAGGGCTTTGTGGGATATTCATGGTACGCTGTGGTGTTTGTCTCCTCCTGATTCCTGTATAGAGGGCGCTTCGTAGGGCTCTTCCCTCCCATAATGTGTGGCGAAAATGTCTGAAAGATAAAAATACCATTATTTCATCTTAAGTTTTAAAATACAATGTAAAATCTTTCACATGCATTAGACATGTTGTAGTTTGTTATTGTGACTTAAATGCACAATACTTTGTGGAACCTTGAAGCTGCTCTGAGCATGCAAGGTCTACTAGCTGATAGTAATACTTACTACAGAATTTTCAACTTTAAACAAGATATTGTCAATCATGTGAAGAACTTTGTACAAATTACTCATCACAATAAAATTATAAAGGCTCTCATAAGCTAAAATTGAAATTCCCCTTTTTTCGAAGTATAAGAATCCACATAGGCCTATAAAATAAATTCTGTCTAAGCCAAACTGCTTTGACATCTATAGAGTTCAAACATGTACATGTATTTACACGTGAATATATTATACTGTAACACTGCTCCGTGAAATACAAAGTGTCTCTATCCTATCTCAATGCATTCAAGAAAACTAAAGAAGTGTTATCTCACAAGTTTTGATTTTCTGTTGACTTGTCCACTTGAACAGAAGATAATATTATTGAGTTGACCCTTCAAGCCAATACATCTGGTGGATTCAAGCCCCATATTTCTATAGTGTTAGAATTATTCGGACACAAAAAATCAGAAACTTTAAGACATTGTAAGTGTTAGGAAGATCATACCTTAATCATACTGTATTCAGAAAAAAGAAGATTCAAAGAACTATTTCAGGAGTGTGTAAGCCAATACATTCTTCACAAGATAAAAAAATCCCAAATATTATCCAGATGTCTCCATTTCAATGAATTCTGTATAAATCATCCACAAGCAAATAATTTATAAAATCCCCAGCACAAATGTTTGCCACATGTCAACATCAAACATCATCCGAGAAAACAGATAAAGGTGTGATCCCTAAAGCTCCGTTATTGGTAAACACAAAGCATCAAATAGTCCGGGGTGTATAGTACGTAAACAATTAGGTCAATTTAACTTCTTATTTCAAAAATCTACTAACACTAAAGTCATGTCGAGCAATTTTAACTCAACAAGTTTTTGCATGTCGTTGACTGTAAAAAAAAGGATTGTGGGTGTTTATTGATATATATACTGTATATGGTTCTTGCCGTAATACCCATACACAACAAATTCTGATGGGGATTATGGTGAACTATAGAGAATCCGTTTTTCCAATCATGTGTAAAATATTCATGTCCAGACCATTATGATAAAAGAGGGTCTTTATCCCTGTTTAAAGGGATTTAGCAATATTGTTATTAAAAGGTTTGAATTTCACTACTGGTAAATGATTGCCTGTCACACATTAAAAATTGGAAATGAAATGGCAGCACTATTAGAGAAGTGAAAATCCAATGTCATGTTAAAGATTGAATATATTCCTTCAGGTGAATTCTTTTTAAACTATTAATGAAATGGAAATGTTCATAGACATGTAAGTTGTAAAGTGTCTAAAGTCTGTGTGCACTGTCCTGCATGATAGGATCAAAATTTAATCTTTTTTACAGCTAGAAGGATTTCAAAGGAAAATCAAACCAAACCAAATATGTCAAGACATCAAATTATAGTGTACCGGCATTAAACCAAGATTTCTGAACTTTTAAATTGAAGTCAGTCTCCATCTTTTTCGTAAACATTTCTACATGCATGCTTACAAAAATGAAAAATTGACTGATTTAATTAGTCATTTTTGATGGTCAACACAATAATGAATAAATAATACACTTTACCATGATGATGAAAACTTTCAATGTTCCTAACAGTTCCAGGAATACTGACGCAAGTCTCCAAAATGAACATATAATATGAATTTCATGCCTTTAGCAGAGGAATAGGCAAACAATTCGCCTTGAATTGGGAATCATTGAAATCGCACAATTACTTTCTCTATTGATGCCCCACATATTAGAATATCAAGTGCTCTACAGTCAGTAGTAAGAGTAAAAACGTCACTTTAGCCTCCTCTGTTCTTTAAAAATTGTCACCTACTTCTACAGTGCATGCATTGAAGGTATTTGAAGGGCAGAGTAAGAAATACTATTCATAACACTGTGGCTTTGATCTTCTTTTTAAACATTGAGGTTTATGGAATTCATTAAAGATATGTACACACAGAGTATTAGAAAAAGAAAAGCATATTAAGATTTATTAAATGTATTCAGAATGGCCTTTAGCTGAGAGGGCCGAGATTATTTGTACATATCACTGCAAGTAGTGGTACCGTTACGTAGTGAAAGTTGTGGAATACTCAAATTTTATACTACCTGCAAACTGTCCTGCAAGCTGCTTAGTGCTTAATAATTGTTTGAAGCAAAAAAAATTTAAAGATCTTCACCGAAGGAAAGCACTTCATCTCAATTATAAAAATCATCTTCATTTAGCACCTAAAGTTTTGTACTCTTTTGAGATTGGCATAGCAAAGGGAGGGGGGGGGCTTTAAGTTTGCAAGGTAAAAATTATTTTTTTTTAAGTTTGGAATCTCCAGGGCTAAATCAATGTAAAATACAGCCTAGCCCTGTCCTAAACTAAACACATATTGACCTAACCTTCCTCCTTCAAGGAAACTGTATTATTGCTATTAATCCACAAAAAACTACCTTTTTTTTAAACCACCCTATTCTAACACATTAATGTATTAACAACTTGACAATTTGACAACTGCCAATACCTAAAATCAATTACAGGACCTGTAGCTTAGATATAAATTACACTGAACAAACAGCCACCCTTCACTTTGTAAACAGAGCTGCACAGCCCTGCCTTATCTGATCTATGTCAGAGTGCAGCACTCCATCAACACCCCACAACAGCCTGGAGACTTCACCGGCCCCTAATGCTGCCTGTGTCCCTATTGTTGGAGTCAGATTTATATTTCTGTGGATAACAACAGGTGATAAAGGGTGGCTAAATATCAAGGAGGGATTGTGTAAGTTACACACACTCAGAAGTCACTGCATAGGGACAAGAAGAGAAAAGTCATGGCTGCATGTAGAAGACATAGTTTGTCTAAAAATATAATCAGGGTAGTTACATTCAAATATTATATATATGTGGTCATACTTAGAGGTTTGAAATAAATCAGCTATAACATTATAATATACATGATATACATGTTTATAAATGCACCAAATATTATTTGCAATAATCCAACTTTCAAGAAAAAATGCACTGTTTTAATTCATGTGGTGGTTAACACAATTTTTTCCAACATTTAAAACAAAATTTAATTTGCTTTTGAATAGGTGAGTGAAATAATCACTGCACGGGGCCCTTTCTCTCCCCATTTTGTCCAAAAGTTCTTCTGTTCCAATATTTCTGTATTTCTCATACTCTGAACCACTGTATATTAATATAAGCATAATGCTTATATATATGAACACATATTTGTACTGTGCTAAATTATAAAACACAAATTTTCTGCAAGAATTACATTGCTTTAATGGCTGAGAGAGTTCCAATATCTATACAACTATAACAATGATTTTTTTTTTCCATTAACCATGTTAACTATTAACATGATTAAGCATGGTAAGAATAGACTTGATGGGACTGCACTTGAATCAAATTCAAAGACAGTTAAATACTTTAAACAGATGTACTGAATCAGATAGCGTATTTCATAAACAATTAATTTGACAAGGCTGGGTGTAGGGTTTACACTAAATAATGGCATTTCTTAACTGCTGGAATTCAAAATAGGCACATTGCTTTACCATTGTTCTAATTTCATGAGCTTTAAGTGTACAATTAAGTTAAAAACCAATATTGTATGCAATCTGTATGCAAAATAGGCAATGAACAGAGACCAGAAAGTATTAAAATAGACTGAGCATTTTATTTTTAATGCATGCAGATCTCTCAACATCTTTTTTAGGGGTAAAAATTCTAGAATTTAAGAATTACTTTATTACCTGAACTTGTGTTGCCTCAACAAGATCCTTAATGGTGAAAACTGGCATTGTTATCCTTAAAATTTTTCAGAGCACTCAATTTTTTTTACTAATCAAATTAATTTCCTTTCAATAATTTAATCATATTCAGCATCTGTTCAAAGAAGAGGAAGAAGAACAATGCTATCAAAAACCAACTTAATCCAATAAAATGCATACAAAAAAAACAAATTAACAAACACTTTCTTTTTCCGTAATTAACACTCCTTAGGCAATGCACAAGCCAATTAATTTTTCCAATACGCCAATTTCAGCCTTAGTTGATAACAGCTGTATTGCCGATAACTCCCTGCTCGGTGTATATTGACAGTCCCAGCACTACCTGTTGACGGCCAGATTAACCGTTTACCTGTCGATTTCCTTACCTTACCGCCCCGCTGCCTGTTTGGTGACACCGTGATTTCAAATTTTTGTTGCCCGGCCCCTTTCACCTGAGATATTAAGTAATCCATTAGCTCGGCCATGATGGGTCTTTAATGTTCAATCTTGATGGTGTTTATTAAAAATTTGCTAATGCCTTTTAAAGTTCCGAGTTGTAATATAAACTGTATATTAACACTTTATTGATCTGATAATTGAAGAGTCTTGTTGTTGGGGGTATAGAAATGAAGTCTATGAAATGTGGAATATAATGGAAACCACCCCAGTTCTCTTTATCAGTGTGGTGTGAATGTCAAATAATATATCAAATTTCAGTTCAGGAATAATCACATCTGGAATCACAATTTAGTCCTCGGCATTAAGTTGAATTTAATCAAAATTCAATTTTAAACTGTACACCATTAATTATCAAGAAAATTTCAAAAACACTTCATATCACCACAAAAAAACTGAAAAGACAATGAATTGAAAAGAAATATCTTCAAAATCAGTCTTTTAACTTCCAGACATGCATACAAGTTGTTCAGACCAGTTACACAAAAATCCACAAGAGAGTAATACTAGCACAGACAAATAACGGCAATAAAATGTGCATATATCCTAACAGGTATTATGGAGCTTCGCTATGTCTGCAGTTAGATACACAAGTCTCAAAGCCGTATTCGGTGTTCTCCGGTACTGCTTTGAACCTGTAACCCATGATCCTTTTGTTTCCTGTGATATGAAAAAAACTTCAGATAAATCTAATCTACAAGCCGTGAATCAATAGTCAGTATTCTCAATGCAGGGCGTTAAACAAATTCAGCCTTATATCTACAGATCTTTCTTCTTTACAATTCCTTACACACCCCAAGTCATCAACTTTGATCTCCGTGCCAGATAAACTTTTTGGAATTGCTAATCTAATTTTTATACGGGCCCACTAATTACAATACATGCTAATCCAGGCAGTACCCCTGTTGTTTAACTTTAGATTATAGTCTTGGGATTTCTTAGACCCAGATTTTATGTTTGGTCAGTATATAGCTAAGATTACCAGCTTTTTAACCTGGGCTACTCCTGAACAGACCGTGGTGACTGTTATCCAGTCAGAATTAGGTGCAGTTGGTCCGGCATATTTCAGCATGTTTATATAAGGAGAAAAATCCTTTTGTTTTACAAATTAAATTCAAGTTTTAGCATGTCATTCCTTATTCAAACAAGGCATTAATTAAGATTCCCAGCTAATCAATTATTGACAAAATGACTAGAGCATTTTGATTTTCTACTCCAATGTCTTAAAACTTTGTTTTTGTACATGTTGTATGTGGTGATTATGACTTTCATCCTTTTTTCTTTTGCATTGTTTTGGGAGGGGGGGTCTTTTTTACAATCTTGACAATTCAGATATTCCTATATTATACTGTTTGAATTGCTCTACTTCTACAGATTTTTTAATTAAAAAAATAATATTGCAATAAAGTTTAGACTAGTTTTTGTATTTGACGTTAATTTTATTTCCCTAACGATTGGGAAATTTACACAAAACTGAGATAATTCCAGGATATTTTATATATGTGCAATTCACAGTTTGACCATTCTTGCTTGTGGCACATAAGTAATTATTGAATAATTATTCATGCTTAGACAAGGCAACCACCTGTGTTTGACTCTTTCATTTAATTTCCACCAAGCTTTAACATGGAGGAAGATTTATGACAGCTTTACATAACTACTGTCTCCTATCGCCAATCTCTTATCAGGTACACTGTATGTCAGAACAACAAAGAATCCCCGTCATAAAGTGGACTCAAGAGATTTGTCCAGCAAACTCTTACCAACAAATTAAACAGTTTTCATTTTAATTTCTGATAACGCCCTGGACTGTTTTCTTGCTGATCTGTTCCAATGTTTGCAGTGGGTTTACCTTAATATTAATATCCAAGGGTGTCATAAATTAAAATTTGAAATCGGACCTATCAAATCTCTTCCCCATAGTTGTTTTCTGAAGAATATTGGAATTTCTTGCAAACTTAACACTGCTTGTTATCACATACATCAGACCACTTTGCTTGCATTTTGGTTTTCAATTTTTTTATTCAATCAAAATTTTGCTTGTGAGAAAGGGGGTGAGAGCTTACAAATAAATGGGAAATGGGGCCTCGCAAAGCAATCCAATACTTTTCCTTTGATCATGTTGATATACATGCAACAATGTTAGTTTTGTCACCTACAACATTAAATTAGATACAGCATCCACATAAAATATTGGTCCTGACAGTCATCCAAAGAAAATACAAGTCAAATGAAGCATCCAAAAAATATAAGTCAGCTACAGCATTCAAACAATATGTAGGTTACATACAGCATCCAAAGAAAATTTAGGCTATGATCTGCAGCATCCAAAAAAAATTGTAGGTCAGATACAGCATCCAAAGAAATAAAGACTTGCTGCAGCACAAAAAAATATAGTTCAAATGCAGCATCCGAAAAATGAACATTAATAAGCATTCCTTGATGCAACATTCATTATAATGGAAGATTAGTCCAGGTAGGAATAGCAGGAATAAAGGTACTGTAAGTGTATTTTATTTGGCATGTACGATATTTGGCGGAAATTGATTTTTAAACAAGTTAGCGAATAGTTGAATTCGGGCTTTCTGAATGTGCTTTATATGAATATGTGAAAACTAAACATTTAGCGATATACTTGGTTTAGTGGATGATGCTTTCCGCAAAAGGTGCTAAATAGAATACACAGCCAAATATAAAGTACGTTTACAGTAACAAAATTGTGTATCATGACATATCATGACTTTCTTCCACAACATCACAAGAAATCAGGATATTTTTACACAGAATTTTTACTAAATTTTCAAATGAATTTTAAAACCACTGGATTCCACTGACGGCAAAGGAAAACTTAGGAAATGGGGGGGGGGGGGGGGGGTAGGGAGGCATGGGGTATCTGCGTGATTTCATAAATGAAATGCATCTTGCAGCTGTTTACAGTTTTATTACATGGTTTACCAGAAGTTAAATTCCTGCCTGCAGTAACAACAAAATCCCCCATTGTGGCATCACCATCAACTTAGATTTAATTGATGATATCGCTGCACAAATACATTGAAAGATTCAAGATGCCTCACTTTGCCTTTGAAAGGCTTTAAAAGACAATGTAATCAGTTGGTTTGATTGTGATACAATGGTGTCTGATGTTAAGTGATCATGGTGAAATGAGCACACTAGTGAAAATCAACTCTACAAAGAATCATACAAACATTGAAGTGAAATTTTTTTTAAAGTTATATAAAATTACCAATCATTGACAAAATTTACCGACTTATTCTGTTGAAGTCAAATTTAAAGAACAACAACTCTAAATATTGCAAAATCATAAACTTCTGGGTATTCCCCTTTGATGAAGTAAAAAAAGAAAAAAAATAAAAATCTTCTGGAATCAGCTTCAAGACAGAAAATAAACGGAAACAATTTAACATTCAAAATTAGTGAAGGAAACTGGTTTATTGCATGAAGTTGTCCAAAGTAAGGTATGTGTCTGATGCATGGTTAATTCAGTGATCATGGTGAAATGAGAACACTAGTGAAAATCAACTCTAAAAAGAATTATACAAACATTGAAGTGAAATTTGTTTAAAAGTTATATAAACTTTTTAAAAAAATTCATTGCTTAAAAAATACATTTCATTAATTTTTTTGTATTGACACTAGTAAAAATCACAGAATCTGATTTTTTTTTAATTACAAGGTATATTAAGCAAAAAAATAATAAAATAAAAATTTTTTTAAAACAATGACAATTTAATTTTTTTTTTCATTTTGCAAAATAACTTTTAAAACACTTTTCATTTCAAATTTTCCCTCATAGCATGATATAATTTTTTGTTAGTGAAAATAGGCCTATTATTTTTTTTTTATTTCTGAAAAAAAAAATTAAAATCTTCAGACACGGTCAATAACTCCACAGTTTAACAGTAAAATTATGTCTGTATTCACAGCATGAATTAATTATTTGGCAATAAAAAGATTTAAAATCGTCTGCAACATCTTTGGCATGACATCAAAAAGCTTTGCGTCTGGTTGTGCATAACTTGTACAACAATTTCATAACCGGAAGCATAAAATCTAGAGGAGTTCCAAAGCGAATTGGTCATTGGTAGTGAAACATGTGTCCTGCTGTTTCGTTTATTGCAGTGATTAACTCACCGATTCTATCATGGATTTTTTTAAAAATAGAAAACATACATGTATAAACTCAAAAAGGTTAGTTTTAATTAATTTGGTAGTTATTTTCAGTACAACCATTTTGAATTCTTTGAAATCATTGCAGAGAGGATTCACTCCATTTGCTACATTGCATTTATATGGGACATATTCTTACTGTCGTTAGGACTTATCCAGAGGAACAGTTAAATTATTGTAACAAATTTACCTAGCAGTAACATTTAGTCTGCTATATGAATTCCTTCTGAGTAAGAATTAGGACAGTTTTCTCCATTTCTGGGCAAGTTTCATAAAAGATATAATTTTATGATTTATTTATGCAATCATCAATGTGTAGGAGACAACAACTCGTCAAAATTAACAATCCAAATAATTCAACAATCAAGCTACACTAATGTCAAAGCAACTGGAGAGGAAATTCGAACTAGGAATTTAAAAAGATCGACATGAATGGACCTGACATGACTGTAATTTGCATCCCCAAAAATAGAACAAGGATAGACAATGCTGTTCTACCCTTATTGTTAAGCACTAACCGTATTGTACGAGTCTTCCATCCTGCTCTCTTGACGAAATAATCTTTTCTTTTAAGAAATAAAGCACACAACTTTGGATGTAAACAAATCAAACGGCCATCACAACATCCGGGAAACTCCCGCCGAACATTCAAAGAAAGCGGGCTTTTCATTGGTTCTCAAAAATAAATTTTCATTTTTTGATTTACCTCAGTTTATATACATTTTCAAGTAAATTTTTATAAAAAGTCACACATTTTTATCAAAGACTATTAAAAAAAATATTTATTTAAAATTATTTTAGCTTCCGGTCAAGACCGATACTTCCGGTGTATAATTATCTCAAGTTCAGAGAGTGAGACAGAACTGAACTGAGAACAGAAGACCGTGAAGTGAAGCTGTTAGGACTCTTTTGCTGGGCGACTGGTTATTGTTATGGCTGCATTGTTCGCCTGTACAAAATGTCATAAAAGACACCCTTTCGAAGAATTGTCTTCAAGTGAACAATTATGTAAAGTAGGTTTACCAATCAACCAATGTTTAGAAATATTTTGTTTAGATAATGCAAGAGCTAATAAAGAAGAATGAATGAATCATAAATAAAATTTACAGAAATAAATGAGATACATTTCATAAAATGAAGTATTGATAAGTTACGATACAAATTGTCCAAAAACTTTGTTTAAAACTTCTAAATATTCACATCTAATAAAGAGAATTTTTATTCACTTTACAAACATAATAAACCTCTCTTAATATACCGAGAAAAAGCCTGAACAGTGCTGAAAGTTTGAAGAACGTTTTGTTTTCTATTTATCTTCAATACATATCCATTAAATCAAGGCGATACTTTTTGTTGAACATTTGCCATGTCTAAAACAAGTGATGCATTGTGGTGAAATCAAAAAAGCTACATGAATGTGCAAACCAGGCGTTGCACATTTTCTAATATTTTTTATTCGCATGTCAAGTTGGCAACATACAAACCCCACATTTTCATTTATTCCGTATTGGTTTGGAATTTCATAATCTTTCCTAGACAAAAATTGATCACTTGGTAGAGGGCCTGACCAGTGTGATGAAGGGGTTGTCAGGTTGATTTCCAACCCAGCTGTACATTTTCTCCTTGCCTGTTACACATGTAAACCTTTATTTTGACATTTCCTCTGTGTTTTGTAGGATTGTAGAAACCATTATCCTGTTGTGAAGTGTACATACTGCAGAGGGGAATTCCAACAGGAGGAGTAAGATTTTATATTTGATTCTGACTCTAAATAGACTTACTTTGTACATTAAACTAATGACACCTATAATCAGTATAATGTTTTGATGTTTCATTGATTTAATTATGCATTTCAGGAAAGGAAGCATAAATTCTATATGCAAGAAATGTGCACAAAATGTTAAGCTTTACGGAAAGGTAAGAATAGCGTAAATTAGATTTTATTGATCAACAAACAATTGTTCTGACAAAACATCACTTCCATGTTAGTAATGTGTAAATCTTGGAAAAGATCTTTTTTTATTTTTATTTTATTTGAAGTTTCTATGTCCTTGTAATGGTAGATTAAAGTTTATATAAGTCTGTTAATTTGTCTCCCCTTTCCTCTTTTACAGCCCACTGTCTGTGAATATTGTAACATAGTAGCAGCATTTATAGGAAGCCGATGTCAGCGATGTACTAATGCAGAGAGAAAGTGGGGGCCTCCCTCAACATGTGAACAGTGCAAACAGAAATGTGCTTTTGACAGGAACGATGGTAGCAGGAAAAAGGTTGGTGTTTTGTTTCCATGGTGTTGATTATTATTGATTTACAAATTAGAATTTGACACTTCAGTTGTTAAATTAGGCACAGAGCAGGCTATAATGTCTTTAATTGAATTAAATTAAGTAAGTAATTTGTGTAATACAAAGCACAAAAAGGTTTTTTTTTTCACACACATGCTGGGATCTGATTGTAGTATGTATGGTTTTAAAAAAATGATGACAAGAAAATTGATTATAGTTGAAATTTTTTTTGACAGGTCGATGGAAAGCTTCTGTGCTGGTTGTGTACATTAGCGTATAAACGGGTACTAGCCAAAGCAAGATTACGAGAGGAAGAAGCAAGAAAAAGTATGGGGTCAACACAGCAGAAACCCGCGGAAGAAAAAGTGGAGAAAATAGACAAGTTTGACAGCATAATGAATATAAAACCAGAAGACTCAAAATACGACAATGTTGGAAGTGTTAGTAGTCGTCATAGTAACGGTAGTCAAGGAGACCAGGATAAATCTGATTTTACTGAGGAAGGTGTAGATTTGCCAAACAGCAGTAGTGGTGTTGGTAGTCATAGCCACAGTCATCGCCACAAACACCATAAACACCACCGAGACCACCACAGACGGTCTCATGGTCGCCACAAACATCACCACAAACACAAGTAAGTATAGATATAAATACCACATAGACCACTACATGCAGTCACAAAGTCGCCACAAACATCGCTATAAACACAAGTAAGTATAGATATAAACACCAGTTACACCACATAGACCACCACAGGCAGTCAAAAATTCGCCACAAACATCATTATAAACATAAGTAATTGAGTTAACTACAGGTAGAGCTTCACAAAGCAAAAAAACAAAAAAAATACAGGGTGAAATGCAGTTTGGAGTCTGTTAATTCAATAGATACATATAAATCCTTAACATTTTTGTAATTGTGATATTTGTTGTAGAATTTTAGTGATAATTCTTTGTGTGTTTCAGATCTAGTATTGTGACATTTGTTGTAGAGTTTTAGTGATAATTATTTGTGTGTTTCAGATCTAGTGAACCAAATACTCCATCTGACACTCCACCAAACAAAGTATCTCGTCTAGACTCTAAAAATAACGCCAACGGATTAACACCAACAAAGAGGTAAGAAAGAATCATACAGTGATTTAATAGACATGAAAAGGGATTAAATAAAACACACAGCAATTAGTGTCTTTTTTATTAGTATGAGAAATTGTTGAGTTTTATGGTAAAATTCTTTGGGGTGCTTTATGATGAAGTACATTTTGAATTGCATGGACATATTGAATTGATTCACAAGTCTCAACCAATTATTTATATATAATTTTACAATCCTGGATATCTTGATTTTTTTTCTGGGTCTCTTCAAGTTCCAGATTATGCGGTTTGAATGTTGTAACTTCATCTGTTTTTAAATTACAGAAGAAGAAATAAAAACTGAAAGAAAAAAAATTAAGCAGAAAAAATTAATCTATATATAGTTCAGGGCTGAGTAGTATGTCCTTGTCCATCCTTAACACGAGCGCCATGGAGAAAACAATGGAGGACCCTCACAGTTCTGAACATCTGATCGCCCTGCAGCAGTTACAGGAGCAGTTAGACGCCGCCAAAAAACAGATACAGACTAGAGACCAGCAGCTGCTAGAGAAAGACAAAAAGGTAATACATAGAGAATAGAGACTGACAACTGCTAAAGAGAGACAAAAAGTTTATATCAGGGTTAATTACCGTTGACTTTTGTGAAGGTAATAGACACAGATTAGAGAAAGAAAAAAGTATTTAGATTGTAGTGTAAAGGTAAAAGATAAAAAAAATTGAGAAAAAATGATTATTGGGAAGTTTGAAGAAGCTAAGCATGACACACTGAATGTTATGAGCTTTTAAAGGCACTGTAGAAATATTTTTCAGATCACGGAGTTGAAGGCCCAGTCTTACGAGATGGAGAAGGAATACCGACTTAAACAACAGACAATGCAGAAACAACACAGTGAGTCACTGGAAGCACTACAGGTCAGTGTTCAGTCTGTTATAGGGCGGGGATTCTAGGTCATGTTCATGGAAATGGAACTTAATTATTTGTATCACTGAGTCATTTGAGCATTGAGTTCAGAATTTTTGACTAAACAACCATCTGTGTTGTGACTCTTCAAAATGTCAAAGATTTACAATTGAGTGTTTATATTAACATTTATTGATTTTATGGTAGATTTATAAAATAAACTCCTTTGAATACATATATACCTGCTTAAATGACACAGACTGCATGGCAAGAGAATGACTGATAACAGGGTCTTCCAATCACAGAGATCCCTGGACTTGTTTTCCAACTTCTGCTAGTATCAGCCATTGGGATTTTTTAGAAAATGTTGAATCACTGAATAAAGAAATAAGGATGCTCTCTTTTGCTTTCTTATGAAGTTATATACTGTAAAAGCACAAATATTCTTGGGGGGATTAAATTTCGTTTATTTCTTTGTTAACAGTTATCAACGAAATTAAATCCCACACGAAATTTTATATAACTATATATTGAATAGGTTTACTCTCAAAACAACGAAATTAAATGCCCACGAAACTATTTTTTTATGACAAATCAACGAAATTTTACTCTCTTTTGCTTTCTTATGAAGTTAATAACCCTAAAAAAAACATCCTATGGACTAGTACTTCTTAGGTTTATGTTTAGTGTACATACATGTACATGAAGAATGAGAAATGGGAATTCTGTTTTGCAGACAAAGAATCGAGAGCTGATGAAGCAGCTAGCCAGTGTGAAGACAAAAGGAAAGAGTAGGAGCTCCACAGCAAGTCCTAATGTGATGACTTAACATGGCGAGTGGTGGATCCAAGAGGGGAGAGATCCAGCCTGACACCACAAACCCCAGAATAGATTGTTAAAACTGGGGGGAGGATCTTGAGGGGTGGAGATTAATTCAGTATAAGTGATGTGTTTGAGAAATGATATAGTATTAATGTTTGAATATACATCAATATCTGAAGCTATTTTATTTTAAAATATTATTTAAAACTGGTATTTGGCAGTACAATTTCTTTATTGTTTTTGAAAATTTTTGCTGGAAAACCTTGTCTTATTTATGTATCAACTTGAGAACTAATGCTTTGGTAAAGAAATTTTAAACAAGATTCAGAACTGTATTTTTTTTAAGGATATATATTTATAAACTCAATATATGTTACTCAAGCTTTATCTGCTTAAATATTTGAATCTCTGTCTTTTGAAAAAGGAATCACTAGAATTGGTGTTTGTACTATTATAATAAAGTGTCCCTTGTCAAGTCCTCAATTTGATTGATGGTAGGAGTAGAGATCTGACTTTTGTTTAATGTGTACAGAATGTGTTGTGGAGTTAAGCTTGCTGTTGCTTCGTCAGAGGTTGTAAACTAAGATTTTGTACAGAATAAGAAATTCAGTTGTCCTTTTTCTCAAAGCTTGTAATTAACTTCCAGTTAAAATGTGTAAACACAAGTTTAGAAACTTGTCATCAAAAATAATCAACCATGCTGCAATTTTTTATTTGTCGGGTGAAAATTATCATTAACATTATATATATGGTTTATTTCATCACCAAAGATGATGCTGACAACTGATCAGATTTTTGTGTATTTTTGAGTTAGTAATTGTCTGTAACTTTAACCCTACCTCCCGTCACAGTCATATTTATGTGTGTGTGAGTACATTTCATAGTTATATCTATATGTATATACATGAACCTAAAATCATTATTGTGAATCTGCTTTCAGTGATACGTATATATTGCTTTAGAAAACGTTTTGTGAAATGGTACTGTTGAAGATCAGTTATCTATAAGATAACATTGTTTTATGTAGAATGGTCCTTATTTCTTCTGACAAGCCAGGTAGGGTACTGTAATAAATGATCTTTGGTATCTTCCAGTTTATGTGTACATCAGTTAAATGTGTGTGTATAAAGCAATGTTTCATACATTACTATATTTTAAAGAAATTTAATGGTGTCACTAGGGCTGGGTATTGGCCGGAGATTTCGTATTGCGATATTTTCAATTGTATTGCTATATGTATTGCAATATTTTCAATGTATTTTAAATGGCATTTTCTTACTATATTTACTTTAATTTACATCCAGAATGTTCATGATAAGTAACCAACAAAGAAAAAAATCTTGTTGATTTCATTTAAGTTATGCTCTGAAATGTTCCCACAAAACAACTTCTGACTTACTGTTTGGCTTAATAACAAAATTTCATAAGTCCTTTTTTATATTTAATGACTAAATTCCTTAATCTAAGCATATTGCCAAAATATTGATATTACAAAACAGAGATTAATCTAGGGCATATTTACTACCGATATTCGGTGTTTTTCCCCTAGAGAAATTTTCCACTGAAGATTCAATTTTCCCCTTTTGATGAGTAAAATATTCACATTACAATAATAAAAACCTCAAATGTTTTTTTTTCCTTCATAGGATAATAAAAATTTAAAATAAAATTTTTCAGTATATGAGAAATATGGTTTTACATTGCTACTTTATGCACTTTAAATGGTCATAAAAATGCTGAAATTCAATTGGTCCCCAAGCAGGACCTGACCTGCACTCGCTCGAGTGGTTCCCTGACCCTTGCTGATTTTCCCAATTTTCCAGAAAGGGTAGTTTCCCCCAAAACCTAGATTAATCCCTGCAAAATCGTATTGCAATACGATATTGTTTTTCATTATATTGCAATATATTGAAATATCGATGTTATTGCCCAGCCCTAGGTGTCACCAAACTTGCTGAAATCAAAGTACATGTATGTGTAAGTTAGTATAAATGTTTGCCGTTATTAAATGCTTTTGCCTCATAGATTACTTTAAAAAATATCAAGGATTTAAAAACTAGTTGTGAACCTGTGCCAATTTGACATTTTGTATGAATGGTCCAACCTTTGTATTTGTGTTGTTTGTTTTTACAAATCTGTCTCAAGAGGAACTGTGTAAATGTAAACACTCATGTTTATCCACGTTACATAGTCATACCTCAATTTTCACAGATTGAAATAATGATATCCTATGATCACTGGCATATTAATCAATATGTTTTGAATTTCGATTTAGTGAAATGAATTTAAAAGATACTTTTCAAAATATGTACTTTGTATGTATGTAAAGGAGCAACCTATTTTAAACATTGCAGAAATCTATAAATTGAGAATGCAAAGTAAAATGCACTACTATAATATTGTACTGTATTTTAAGAAAATTAGAACATTTGCAAAAGCGAAGTGATTTTTTTATTGCAATAAGTTTCTTAAGCCTATATTAGAATATTCATTTGGACTGATATTGTTCATTTCCTAGATCACATTTGGAATGTTTATGTCTTTTCTGATATTAACTTTTCAGGCAAGTGCTTTGTAAGATAAAGAGTATGTGCAATTCTGTAAAATACTGTGAATACTAATTTTATGTGTATGATCATGATTTTTTATAATGATTTCATAAAAAAAACTATTATTGTTTAAAACTATTATTGCCTTTAAAGGATAAATAATTGCTACTTTGTAGCATTGTTTAAACCCAGATCACTCTAGAAAATATATGGGTATGTATGTGTACCCAGATAAATATGCAAAATAGGGCATTGAGTTTTTAGCTGAAGGTGTGCATCATATTTTTGGTTAAAGAATAATTATAATAATGGAAAGATGGTATTATATATCACTGAAACATGTAGGTCTTTACACTGGGAAAATATCTTTCTACTTAGAGCTGCAATCTTTGAATTGATCACTTTTTCCCCCATAATTTAAATTTTTTTGTTTGTGGAGAAAAAGAATTATACATTTTATTATTAAAATTACGGCTCGCTGTTATCTTTTGATAATTTTTCTCATTAACAATCCAGCCGCACTCCTATTTATGTAGAGCATGGCCACTTTCATAAAAGACTTAGAGGTAAAGGAATTGCTAGAACATGCATTGATAAAGTAATAAAATATTGAAAATTATTTTGTATAAAGTGACTGGGCTATTTGTAGTTTCATTAGTCTTGTACATGTAAATAGTGTAAATAACAATATTTATTTATTGCACTTCAGCTGTTTTAGATTGGAATTTGTAAATGTCACAATTTTAGCCTGATGTATACAGGAATTTTTTGACAGTAACTTTATCTGAATTCTTACAAACAATAGAAACTATTTAGGTTTTATGATTTTTTTTAATTTATTGTTTTAAAATTTAAAAGACTTTGTGAACATTTTAAACCAGACACTTAAACTGCAATATGCATGGCACAAGTCTTCAAATTATTTATCCTTCATCATAAATTGTACATTAATTTTATACATATGTCATTTAAACTCCTAACAATGATTTTAACTGCCCTGATATATATGTTTGTAATACAATATTATCATAGCGACATATCTTTTTGTATGTATGAGGTATTTCATAGATTTATTGTGTTTTAATTTGTGTATGACAATTTTCATTTTTTTTTTTATTATTATTTGCCAGTTCCATGTCTTTATTATTAATATTAACTTGTACATGTGATGTTCTTTATATAGAAGTAATAAAAATTTTAGACTTAGAGGCATGAAGAGTTGCCTCCCTCAAAAGTGATTTTTTTTTCTTTCATTATTAATTTAAAATACCTGAAGATTATATCAGAGAATCTATTTTTTACTAGGATATTTCTATCTAATGCATAAGGCCATGTAGAATTTTTTTTTCAATTGAATAAAAAATACAAAACGAGTTTAGAAGAGTTGTAACAATAAACAATTTACAGTCAGCTGTTTTGTACAGAGTCACATATTGCATCTACAACACCTTGTCAAACCATTATACCAGAGCTTGTGTCCAAATTTTCAAACACAGTGATGGAGATGTTAAAAAATATCTAAGTTCAAGTCATGAATATGACTAAAACAAAAAGTAGCAGTCAAATTTTTATTAAGAAAGGAGGACAACGCAAGTTTGTCCAAGCCCTTTTAATATGACTGCAAGTGAATGTAAATTAACTTGTTGTGCTACACGTATAATCTACAATTTCCTTTAAAAAATGTTTTCTCTTGAGCATGTATAGTACTGTATAGAAATATTTTTTTTCAAGACTCTTTGTTCTGACAGAAGCAAAATACTTTCCATGATTTCAAAAAATGATAGAAGCAAGTAGGTCCTTATGATCAACCGGTTCAGGGTGCATGACCAGTTTTGAAAAAAAAAATTATAAGAGCAACACGTTGAGCACTTGTGTATGTCATACGTTGCGGTCTCGATGCAATGGATCTACCCATGTAATTATTGCCATCATTATGATGATTAGAGCGTAGAAGGAATCGGCTGCATTTCATTTCCAGAATTTTTAGTAATTATCAACTTTTCATTTCCGACATTTTTTAGTTTTCATTTCCGACATTTTTTCAGATAGTACCTTTAGTAACAGATTTGAAGACTTAACCTAGAAAATTTTAAAGAAATACATATATAAATAAATCATTGAAATCCAATTTCTGCGTTTTTGTAAATTTATCAATGAAACAACTGTGGCAGAATGTAGGCAAGTACCTGAATTAAAGTTTGAGAGATTTACTCAATGATTACTGAATTACTCTAAATTAATATGTATTTAGCAGAAAAAAATAAAGTTCTGTGTAAAGCAGTGTAATAAATGCGTCAAATCTAGATTAGAGTACAAGTGTCTTGGACATAAGTTTGGTGCTGCCACTGACATTTTTTTAGTGCACATTAAAATCTTTAACCTAGACTTCGTGCTACATGTATGCATATATGTATATAATATTAATAGATTTTTTAAAATATATTTTTATTCCATATTTTGCAATAAATACTTTTAGAATTTCATTATTTTCGCTAACTAGGAAAACATTAAATTTCCGCACAGGTAAATTCCGAAAATGAAAACAAAAATTATGTCGGAAATGAAAACAAAAAATGTCGGGAATGCTATGCAGAAATGAAATGCAGCGAAGGAATCATTATTTAAAATGTACATGTTCGGAAGAATTTTCCACCAAGTAAAATTCTGAAAAGAAATGTTACACCAAGGTAAGAAAAAGTTACATTAATATAAATGTTTTGATATGATATTTTCTTTTATTTTGATATTCAGATAGTGGTATGTCTATGACGTTTCATAAGAGTTAAGCTAAAAAAAAAAAAGCCTTTCGTATGCTGTTTCATAATTGGTTGTTTTACTATAGACAATTAGGAACAACTATCATGACTAAAATGTATGGCATTCGAGATGACCTCGGCTTTTTCAACGTCAACTGCCCTTTTTATTCCTCTGTAATATTCCGCGATCACCTGCATACATGTATTGTATTTCCAAATTTATATTCGGTACCCAGTGCGAGAAAATTTTAAAACTCATATATAAATTAATGTTTTTTGACTGCCAGAAATGTTTTAGTCCCAATATTATATAGGCCTTGGAATATTCCGTCTGTCTGATCAAAACAAGATTCTTCACAGGGGATGCTTACTCCTCCCAGGTACCTGATCCCGCCGTAATTTCCGGAGATCCATGGTTTATGCCCTGGTTACAGATTTGTATTGCTTGTAGCTTTTTTAATTGAGATCTACCAATGTTCATTAATTTCACCTTTTTTGCTATACCTGTATTTAATACACAGGTATATTAGGAACTACTATAAAGACTATAAATATCTCAGGTATGTGATCTTTGTTAAAGTTAATACATATTAAAATAAATGTAAGAAATAATTACCTGAAATATTTTTGAATTTCTGCAGCAGACGAAAATTAGAGGAAAAATTATTTTTCACGAAATTGTTTTTAAAGGTACTTGGACAAAGATTTGAAGTTAATATTTTCTCAGAAAAACTGTATAATATCACGAATTATATATTTCAATAGCATTTCACACAAAAATTAATTAAAAATCTTATTTCATTTAAAAGTTATTAAAACTTCAAAATTTTTGGCGGGTTTGATTGACACATCCTTGCACTTTCACAAATTTTCACTTTATCCTTAATCCTTCGGACAATTGGCAATCTTGTTGTGTGAAAGTGAGAAATATTAAAACTTTAATGCAGAAAAATAATTTTATTCAGAGTAGAAATGTTAGAAAGCAAAACTCCTTCAAAAGTATCGTTATTCCGAGCTAAGTGTTGTTTGCAAATCGATCACACTCAAGTTATGTACACAGTTTTTGTAAACAGGGCAAGAGCTCTGTTATTGTTGACTATTTACGGTTCACCGGGTGCGTTCAATTGTCGAAGTCTGCTCTCCAAAACTGCACGGACTGAGAATATATTGTGTGTTTGTATTGCTTTCGAACATGTCTAATCTGAATTTTCTGGATTATAGTATTAATATTTTTCATTGATACACAAAAAGATTGCCACTTTTCCTAAGTATTAAGAGTAAATTTAAAATTTGTGAAGTGCAAGGATGTGTCAATCAAACCCGCCAAAAAATTTGAAATTTTAATAACTTTTAAATTTAATAAGATTTTAATTTAATTTTTGTGTAATAAGCTATTAAAATATATATGTCGTAATATTATAGAGAAAAAATTAACTTCAAATCTGTGTCTAAGTACCTTTAAAGAAGAAGGTATGGTTTTAGCTTTATTGCGCCCTAAAAATGTAATGACACCAAAATGTTTTGAAACTGGCTTAAATATTAGTTTAATAAATGACACTGATAAATCAGGAAAGAGTATGGCATGAAGGTTTACTATTCTGCAAATATGACGTCATTAATGTGAAGCATTTCTCTATTTTCAACAGAAAAAGCCTCAAAATGGCACATTTCAAGGGAGATTTTCCTTTAGAAAACAGTGTCCACAACCGTCGCCTACGTTAATTTTTTGATATTTTGTGCAAAATTTAATAACAAATCACATATCTCAAGATCTTTGTGGGCGATGCCTGTGGACAATGTTATCTGAAAGAAAATTCCATTGAAATTTGGTGTCTTCTGCAACTTTTTAAGAAAATACGGGAAAATGCACATGTTTAAGACGTCATTATTAGCATTTAAAACACATCTGAGAAAAATCACTTTTATGATTTTTCTGCATTGAATTTCAATTATTCAAAGAGCATGAGTTTTACACCAGTTTCATTTTTTAGAAAATCACAGGGTAAAACTTGTATGGAAACCATACCTTCTTCTTACAGTAGTTGAATTTATCAAGAAAATACAAACCCTTTCCTATTTGTACCTGCTGAAAAAGAAAATGTTATAATTAAAAGTTTTTTGGAACGATGTGGCGCTGAAGAAAATGAAAGGCTACTGAAATGCCTCTTAAGGTATTCAATCCCTAATAGGATCAAATTCAATGAAATTAAATACATAACAAATAAGTAGGCATTGAATACTCAGTTTATTTAGACATACTTCCCATTTATTACTTTAAGTATGTATAGTGGGATGTGTCCTAGTTTATGACCTTGAATTTTGGTAAGACTTATCTCCCCTTTTTTTGATTAATAAAAAAAATCAATTAAAAAAATTGTATCCGGTAAAAAAATTGTTTTCAATTGTCATTCTATTTTTGATGTTTCGATGCATCTTTCCACCAAAGGATTTATTGATATTCAGGGTATTTAAATTTTTATTTTGAAAAAACGCTTTTTCCCATAGACTTCAATGCAATCTTTGTTAATTAACTACTGGTTAATTAAGGAAATTTTCTTAACTTTCTCGCGGTCAATCCTTTTCATTTTTAAAATACTTTAATATAATATCAGAGTATTGTGTACTTGACGGCCATTTAAGGGTAGGGAATTTGGTCCCATTAGGGATGGAAATCCTTAAGATTTACCGAATTTTTAACTACTACTATCTGAATAATTGACAGTATTTTTGTCGATGACAGATGTTTAAACAAAATATGTACAATATAAACAAAACAGTGTTTCACTTTTTAAATGATTTTTATCATATTTATGTAACATATATTTCTCTTCATTTGTGGCTTTCAAGAAAACTAAGAAATGTCTAGAGGTTGCCTTTTCGAAATAATTGTACTTCTTTATCTTTTACCTTTCTTTACAGCAGGTCATTGCATGATTCCCATGAATAGTTGATTTATTTTAAATCAATTTTGAAATGCAGGTATTTCATCTGAAATTACGATCTAATACTTCCGTTTTGTCTATCTCATAAATTAAAAACAATATAACTTATAAAAAAAAATAGCAGGAACGTGGGTTTTGTCTATTCAAAAGTCAATTTCAAGGGTAGTTGGGACAAAATGTTGGTTCAAGTTTTACACTGCAATATGATGAAGAATAAATGCCTTATACCATGCAGTTCTATAATAATAAAAAAAAATTATCTGCGTATATTGTTTAAATTTTTTTAATCATATCATATCAGAGTCAGACACATCTGTTTCATGCTTGAATATTTTACTTGAAAAAGAGTTAATGATAATCTATCAACTAAGCTGACTTGTATTGTGACCATTACAATCGTCAACTTTCCTTACTTAAGCAGCAATATTCCTTCACCACCTGCATAGACTACAGAGTTTTTTTATATCTCAGTTGATTCGATACGCAAGTGCATGCATGCTCTACTATGAACAATTTTTAAAACGAGGTAAATTATTGACAAGGAAGTTGATGAAAAAAGAATATCATCAGACTCGTTAAAAAGTCATCATTTCTTAAGTTTATGGTCGAAACTGACTTTTTCAGCAAATAAAATTTGTCATTGCGGTGAGTCAAATGCTCACTGACGTTTTTGTCCATTATTTATACACTGAATTGACGACAGATTTTCCCGTTATTTCCCGATCATGACAAGGAGCACACGACGGGTGTAACCGGTCAGCAGGGGATGCACACTCCTCCATAGCACCTGATGCAACCTATGATGTTTCAAAGGTCGATCCATGTTTCGTCTGCTCCTATTTTTTATTGTTTAATGGACTTTTGAGCTTAAATACTGTTCATTATCTCCATGTTTTATCTTTAAAATACATACCTTCATATACATGCATACCTTACATCATTAGGATAGACATTTATAAGGTATTCAATTGAGATGAAAAAAAAATCAAAACTATAGAAAACAAACATAACAATAAAAGAATTAATTATTGAAGAAAGATTTATTGATGATTCATCTTTAAACGTTTTCAAATAAATCGTATTTATAAACATTTCACCATCAGAAAAATATTTTTGAATTTAGGACTTTTTCTCTTTCAGTAATTTGGTTCCCACTGAAAAAAATATACTGAGAGTAGTAAATATTTGACATCAAAATAGCTTTAGATTAAAATTATGTCTCTCGGAGTTATTCCATGTTCATTGTGATCTCTAGAGTCATAATATCTTTTTTTAAAAATTTCCGTTCAAAGCTACCAAAAATCCTCATGACCATTCTTATACCTGTACGTGTCTAAATGTTCTTTGTTCCTTATAGATTCCTAAGATATGCTGGACTCGTGGATAACTATAATACTTAGGTGGCCGCAGTTTTTATTGATTTTTTTTATTTGCATTATTGCTATTTTGCGATTCCCTATGCACCCTACGTGACAATTTACAATTAGAGACAAAGGAGACCGTCATGATTTTATTATATTATATTTAATTCCCTTTTCTCTTAATCTGTATTACTATTTATGTCTTAAGCAATCAGATGCACCTAGTCTCCTTTTTATTCCCTGAGAAATCATTTAAAATATCACGCACTACTTGGATCATTTGTTGAAAAGAGAAGATACATATAACGAATATTAATTGTATCTTCTGAATTTCTCATATATAGTATACAGTACTTATTTTTGTAAATTCAACCATCCCAAAATGCTTTTTAACAAGACTGCTTTGAATTGAACGAGTGGTTCAAGTAAGTCCTGCATAAATTTTGGCGCGTTTGAAATCATATAATTGTGAACTGGGTGATTCCGCTATTTTTTTTAAATGTTTTATCTAGAATATTTTAGCTTAATTAATGCTGAGGTTTCTCAACAGGTAATTCACAACAAATTAAAGCTAGTTTCCCGTTTCACGTAACCAAGAACTTTTCTTCAAAAATATTTTAAGCATATTAATTTCTGGTTATAATACACTACTTCGGTCAAATATAAACATTTCTATATACATATACCATACACATTTATGATCCGTATAAGCGTAAACTTAAATTGTCCGAAATTGCCTTAAGATATACATTTACGACAACAATAGCAATCTTTTAATTTAATTCTAATTACATCTAATTTTATTGTAATTAAAGTGGTGCAGAATATCTTCAATTTTTTTTTTAAAAATACCTCACTACTAGCATATTAAATTTTAAAACTTCAAAGGAAATACAAATAAAGATGTTTCAATCTGTTAAAATGCACATTAATCGCTGAATAAGAATTTCAGATGATGAAATGAATTCGAAGTTAGTCAAACTTAAAATTAAAATTTTATTAGAATTGAATTAAATTTTAAATTAAATTTTAAAGCCTGACACTTACTGAGCATCGTCTCTCTTTCTTTGACAATTGCCTATAGCCACATATTTCTTTTTACCCCCTTTTCCATCTTTTTCCACCAACTTGTATTTGCATGTATTTGCCCTCCACCAATAACCTGCTATCACAGGCGACGAGAAAAATTCCAAGGATACAAAAAGCAGAAAAAGGACCACTGCTCCTGAAAACTGATTATTTTTTTACCGTTTAGAGATAAACATTGATTTTTTTCATGATCTCTAATAAGAGATTATTTATGTGCAGATCAATTTGGGGTCAAAATAATCAGAGATTACACCCCCCTTTCTGGAATTTTTTGAGGAGTTTTTTATTTTTATTGGAGTTTTGAAATTACATTAGGTTACAGCAATGTTTTAAGTTGTAATTAAGAGAGTGTCAGATTTAGAATTGCAGTGGATTCCCCTAGCTGGATGTAAATATTATTGTAGATGAAATGAATCTTCCGCTATCAAGAAAATAAAAAGTTTCACTCCGGACAATTCAGATCATTTGTGTGAATATATACAATCTTTTACATTAATAAAAGTTATTAAATTAAGAGAGAGAGAGAGAGAGAGAGAGAGAGAGGTGGATGAGAAATAAACTAACCACGATTTAGTGCGGTTAATTCATAAAAACAAGTGAAGATGACTTCATCATTAAATCTAGTTTAACTTTTAGTTTACTTTTACCTTAATAGTTTATTTTGGAAGCGTATTTGTGAACTAATCGCGGGCTTAAATTCTAAATATAATCATAATGACTTGGTGTCAAAAAACATTGTTGCACAACTTCAGTAACAACTTTTTTTTATAATCACTTTTTTGAAATGCAAAGACCAAAATTCTTTTCGGAAAAGGTTAGATTTGAATGTTTCTTAAGGAACAAGTTGTCTTAGTGTTGCTTCTTTGCAATTGAAGAAAAAATTCAATTTAGATTGAAATTACATTTTTATGCCCCCTTCTATGAAGGGAGGGCATATTGCTTTGCTGCTGTCTGTCGGTCGGTCAGTCGGTCTGTCGGACCATTTTGTATTCGTTCATTTTCTTCACAACCGTAGCACATACTGAAATGAAATTTGGTATACAGATTTATCAGATAAATATCTCTAGATATACCTAGTAGGTCAAGGTCTGTTTCGGGTTACGATCGCACCATTTTTGCCAGAGTTATGTCCTTTGGACATGGAAAAAGTCCACTTATTTGCAGTTTCCTTTCATTTTCTTTGCAGATGTTGCACATATTAAAATGAGATTTGGTTAACAGACTTATCAGCTGAATATCTAGGCCAAAGCCGTTCCGTTTTGGGTATGATCTCGCCATTTTTATAGAGTTATGTCCCTTGGACTTAAAAAATTCAATTTGGGGGAGGGGGCATAAGTGTTATACAAACATCTCTTGGTTAGTAAAAAAGTTTGAAAGTTGGTAAAGAAAAACTTTTTTTTAAATTTTATATTAATTTTCCTTGCATGTTAGTAATATAAATTGCAAACAAACACATAGTAATATTTTATCTATACTTTACGAAAGCCTACCTTCATTGTTTGTCTTAAACTCTCTTCAGAGTAACAAGTTAATTAATACAGATTTTATAGAGCAAACATCATGGCACATCATCAAAAACCTGTTTGGAGGAATATGATATTACAAACTATGACGCAAAGTTGCATATATTGCACTTAATTTTACCCGGACTAAAGTTATTTTACACCAGTGCTAAATGAAATAGAAACTGTAACAAATGTTCTCTAAAAGGCTCTATTTCCACCAAATGCTACAAATTGCCTACAGATATTGATCAATTACGTATTACATTCGTATTATATCCTATTGCTTGGATTTCTAATTATGTTTTTAAAGGAATCATATACAATGGCAGTCATCAAAATATGTAATTCGGCAGAGTTCGATCGCCTACACGCCGATAGATGTAATCTATGTATTTCGTAGAAGAGTATTTCTTGAACATCCGGAAAAAAAGGAGGTTAACTGTTCAAGCACAGGGGGTATGACAAAGTGAGCAATCTGGTGAAAATAGATCTTATCTGATCTCTCAAGCCGGTGTAACGTTGAATATTGACCCGAGTTGAAAATTGACCCGAGGTTCATTTTTAAACGTTGAATATTGAACCGGGGTGTTTTTTCTCCGTTGAAAATTGAGACCAAAAGTCGTTGAATTTATATCCGAAGTCATTTTTCAACAGCTTTATAATTGTTTTTCCTATCCCTGATGACCTCAACAAGTTGAAAATTGACCCTGTTGAATACTGACCCCACCTCAGAGTTTAAACATTTTTTGAACTATGAAGTTGCTTTACGGGATTTATCAGTATCTCTCTCTCTTTATATATTTCGGTTTCAACATTTCTTTTCAAGAATAAATAAAAATACAGTTAATTCAAACAGCATGGGGCAAGTGGGATGTTGAGAACCAGATATTCTTTAAATATATAAACTATGATGGAATGCCCAGGATGACTAGTACATTAAAATCAAGGTGATGAACGAATACAGTTCAGATTGATTGATTGATTATATGTTGATATACTTCCCATTTGAGAATTTTTAACTCATATCTATGTGACAGTATTTCGGGTTTATACGTACGATGGCCGATACATGTATGAGCCGTCAAATTACAAGTAAGAGTAGCTCTATTATGTACGCAGAATTATATGACTTTAGTAGTATTACCTGTATCATTTTGTACATGTACACTTTGTTAATGGCAAAACGCATATAGTTGTACTATTAATTGATTTGTACATGTACAAATCTTGAGAGACAAAATACACTTTAGACTACTTATCATCCCTTAGTTTTATTGGGAAGATTATCTGTAAACTTAGAAGGGACAAAATCAAAAACATGTGTTATCTAATTTTTCCTTCTTTTTTCTCATCTTAAATCCCCCCTCCCACATTTAAGTTGTTTAATAAATTTTGTGTACCTTACTTCAATTGATCAAATAAATGCAGCGAGATTGTTTTTTTTTATTTGTAATTGACCTCAAAATTTATTTTTATATCATAGAATATTTTGCCTCTATTTAGATTCCTCTGTTTATTTATTTTAATTAACTCTCATGAAAACAAAATTTTTATTTTCCTTCATAGCCCCCAAAATACTGGTTAAAGATTTCAGAAACAATGGAGCTGCATCTTTATTATTTTTTTCAGTCAGATGAAAAACATTCGCTTGATCGAACGATCGCGGAAACATTCCTTAGATTTCTATAATTTCGGACGGAGACTGAACAAAAATACGTGTGTTTTTGTTTTGGGTGGGGGGAGGTATTTTTTAATTGAGGTTGGGTAAATACATGTTAATGTTGCATTGCAATTATTTTAATGATATTTAAAAGCAGCAATACTGATTTTGATTTTACAAATACTGTCAGTGATCTTATCTGTCGGGGTTTTCCATCATTAAAGGCATATTTTGTGAGAGTCTTTTTTCAGATTCCATCGTAAATCAGCTGCATCTTTATGTAAAACGTAATGTATTTCCTCATTTTATTTTTTTTCTTCGTTCCAATGCGAAAAAAAACAATGATGTAAAAAGCAATACAGTATTAACACAGGGCAAAGCATAGAATGAAAAATTAACACATTTTTTACGCAGATCATCAAGCGACAGATTTTCATCTGGCGGGTAAAGAAACAATGAAGATGTAACTCCATTGTTTCTGGAATCTTTATCCAGTATTTTGGGGTCTACGAATGAAAGTTATGAATTTTGTTGTGAAAGTTAGAATTAACAAAACCCGAAGAGGAATCTAATTAAAAAAGACACTTACAAAATATTCTATGATGAAAAAAATTAAATTTTGAGACCAAAGACCAAAAAAAAAAAAAACCCCAATATCGTTGCATTTTGTGATCAATTGAAGTAAGGTACACGATATTAATTTAACAACTGAAATTGAGTAGATTAGGAAAAAATAGAAGAAAAATCAGATTCACATGTTTTTGATTTTGTCCCTTCTAAGTTTACAGATAATCTTCCCAATAAATCTAAGAAATGTTAAGTAGTCTAAATTAAGTGTATTTTGTCTCAATTAATTCTGCGTACATTATAGAGCTACTCTTACATGTAATTTGACTTCTCATATCGGCCATCGTAGGCTTATACCTAGTTATGTTTACGTCTCGGGCATGGAAAAATTATAGAGTCTTGAGGACAAAAATTTGCTAACATAAACCGTCATTCGATCTTATTTAATGACTGGCATAAATATTTACTTAGGCCTTTGTTTTTATTCTGAATTTGGCATTGAAAAGTTCCGTCTACCCGACAAATAATTTAACTATTGTATTTTTTTCCTTACTTTACAGCGGGTCATAGATTCCCATTAATAGGTGATTTATTAAATCAACAATTTATAACCTCTTTAAGTATGAAAAAATAAGATTTTAAGTACTATTAACCCTAAAACGTGTATTAATGTTTAAATGGTGTCAACTATTTAAATCGACAGAGCTAGAATTTTGAAATATAGGTATTTCATCTGAAATTGGGATTTAACACTTCCGTTTTGGCTATCTCATAAATCAAGAACAATATATAACTTATCAGAAATGGCAGGTACGTGGGTTTTGATTGTTCAAAAGTGACTCCCAGGGGTAGATATACAATTAAAATTATCTGAATATATTGTTTAAAATTGTAAGTCATATCATATCAGAGTCTGACACATCTATTTCATATACGTTAATTGTAATCTAACAACCAAGCTCTATGAAAAACGCAATGACTATAATTTTTCTATGGTCAACTTCCACCACTTAAGCAGCAAACGGAGTTTATGGATCTCAGTTGATTCAATACGCAAGAGCATGCTCTATGTATGAACAATTTCTAAAACCAGGTACATTATCGACAAGCAAGTTAAAAAAAAATTAGAAAATCAACAGTCTCGTTTAGAGTCATCATTTTGTGAGTTCTATGGTTGATACAATGACCTCGTCAGCAAATACAATTTGTCATTTTGGTGAGTCAAATACTGACTGATGTCCTTCATAGTAATTGTTAGTTCCATATTTAAACACTGAATTGACGACAAATTTTCACGTTATTTCTCGATCATGACAAGTAGTAGACTGGGGGGGGGGTGACCTGTTGGCAGGGGATGCTCACTCCTCAATGGTACCTGAACCCATCTCTGATGTTTTGGAGGTCCATGTTTGTTTGGCTCCTATTTTGAATTGTTCACTGAACATTTTAATCTTGAATACTTTTATGTTTTATCGTTATCTTAAAGAACGAGTGCACTTATGGGCCCCGGTAAAATGTGAAAAAATAAACATTCAAATTAAGCAAAAATTTTCATCTCAAATCATTAATTGATATCTAAACCATACTATTCAACACATTTTACCGCTGAAATCCACGTATATACAAAGAACAAAACTATACAATGTGGTAGGGGTCAGCCGTAAATCGAGAACGGTCATTCATTTCAAAGCCTTTGTTAACTATGAGCCTAACGTTGTGCAAACTTGTGCGAATGACAAAAGACGCATATTTCATTTATAAAACTTGTGTGAATGCAGGAAATTTGCACACGATTAGGCTCGTACTTAAAATATTAAAAATATATAAAAAGTACACTGTTTTTCCTATAGCAAGTGAGAGCTATTTACCTGTATGACCCATGTTGAACCCACGTGTGGAATAAATTATTTAAAATACTAATAGCCACGGGAGTTCTACCCAGGTAAACATTCCTCAAAAGTGTTCACTGTAAAACATAGGCAGGTTTTGTTTCAGTAAGTCAAAGTCGTGCCGCTTGGAGATGTTTGTATGTATTTGTTTTTAAGAACATGGGAGGGTAATGAGATCTAAGTGTCGTTCATAAAGTGTCAAACATTTTTAACCTTCATGCAAGACAATGAAACAGGTATTAAAAGCCACCTATAACACCTCCTTTTAACTTCAAATTCATTGAAACTATTATTGTAATTTTCAAATGCAAGAGTACCAATTTCTAAGTTTAATCATTTTAGATACAGGCAACTACACAACTTCATTCCATATTTTTAAAAACAGGTTTGGCGCAAGAAATATCTTTCCGCAAACGCGCCCGCCTATGATCCACCATCAGATTGTTCAAGTATCGATTTAAAACTATCTATTCTCTTGATTTACATTAACGAAACTAAAAGAAGGTTCGGTATAATCTTACTTTACATAATAAAATATTGATTAAATTAAATTAAATATACCGGTACATGTATTTATGTAGTTAACAATTCTCTTACAATCTATTTTTTTTTTTTGTTTAAAAAAGCAAAAGAGTTCCAATTACTTATATAATATTAGATCTGGAAAAGTTTGCCTTGAGTAGGTATTCAAAAATTTTATTTGGAAAACAATAAAGATTTTCTATCTTTAAAAAATATGGTGACAATTTAACTGTAATATTTTTAGATTATGCATCGACAAATACGTGATGCGGTTAGTTAAAAAAAAGTTCTCTTCCATCAAATGTAGTTAATTGTTAGTTTTATAACAAACAGTGACAGTCCCATCTTTGCCAGCCAAGTGTTTCCGATCCGAAATCTACTTTTTTAAACGTTGTCGGGTAGATCTTGTATCGAAAACACTTGGCTAACCAAGATGGGACAGTCCAAACGAATGGCTTAAAATTTAAAGGCCAAGAATGTTAACATGACAGAAATATGTACCCGTGATTATCAGAGCATGAAATAATGTAAAAATAACATGGGAAAGAATAAGGGGAATTCCAATGCCAAAATTCCCCAGTTTAAGGAAACGATTGAGGTAGGAAATGCTTATTTTCTTGATATTTTAACTTGCAGTTCTTTTTTTAAATTGTTCCAACGTCCGTTGAATTACATGTCTGTTTGCAATGCATGCCATTATGTTCGAGATGCTTTATTTTCGTAAGAAAAGATATATTACATTTCTTTCTTGAATGATGTGTAACAGGTACTAGGTTTTAGTCTGTATAGCAATTTATCTCAAGATCAATATTGACTTTGTCCAAAAGATGAGAAACAAATAACTCTAAATCACGGTTTTATAGGGCTATAAGCAATACAACTGATTACGCCGACAAGAAGATATCAACAAAAAGAGAATTTCATTCCTGAGACACCAACAGGAAAGAGGACATTTCAGATATCAACACTTACAGGAAAGTGGAATATCAATCAGATATCAAAACCTGCACGGAAATGGAAAAAGAAGAATATCATGTCAGATATCAGAAATAATGAGACGGAAGTGACTGCACACACGGCAAGGATTTTAAAAGAAAAGATAAGATTTATAAATATGGTAAGAAAAATCTCGCCTGCGTTTTTAAGAAATTGTTGTTTCAGTCGGATGTATTAGTTCAATAAACTGTGAGAGAACTTGATATATACATAAATAATATTGTATAATGTTTAAAAATGAATTTTGAGATTTGAAATTAATTCGTTGTTGGTTTGCATTCAGAAATCTTTTAGACAGGTTCTTAGAGATTGCATTTTATAAACTAAGAAAGTATTACTACATTTTAACCACAATTTTTTTATCATGACTTCAGCATAAAAACAGGAACAATGAAAAAAATTAAAGGTTTTATGATCAATGAATACACTCAATAAAAAGCTTTATTTTCCGACAAAAGTAAAAAGATCTCCTTCAGTTTTAAACGTCGTATATAAACTTTATTATCCTCGAATAATTTTTATCAGTATACATGATCTGTAGAGGTTCTGCTAGGGCTTCCATAATTAACTTCTCTCAAGTCTTTATTTCCTTTTGAAATAATACCGTTACAGGAAGATAAAGTAGAATCATATCATGTACATATTGAAGTTACTAGTCCATGTATCTATTAACTAAACGTAGATAGAAAATAAGTATGCAATCTTTTTATTACATAAAAGTAATTCCAAATCAAATTTAGTATGATCAGAAACTGACCTTAAGGGGGGGGGGGACTTATGCCCAAAAAGTCTTTGTGTGAAATTTTCAAAACTTTGACATTTCTTTCATGGCCACTTGCTCTAAATTTTTAGGTATTAAAACAATACCTTTATATGCTTATTTTTACACAGGAGCACGTGCAAAACCAGTGTGAAATGCTAAAAAAAGGATTATTTTCAGACATTACTGTTCTACCTCAAAAATGCGCTAAAAAGAACTAAAAATGGCAAATCACATTTAAAATCAACATGTATATAAATTATTTGACTTGTATCTTTAAAATAAAGGCAAATTCATTGTAATTCATCTCGCATGAAAAATTTTGTTATATCGTGTAATATAAGTTGAAATGAGCTTCATTTCTTAATATTTAATTTCATGGCAGACAATAAGATAATTTTCTCCCAAGAATAGACTTCACAATGATTAAATTTTAAAAAGTAACGTCACTTGTGACGTCACTTAACACTGCCTTGACGTAGAACGACATAGGTCCCCCCTTAAGTATTTTTTTGTCACGGTTTTACTCGATTTTCTGTCGTTTTTTTTTCTTCAATTAACATTTATGGCAATTTTCTATTCTTATGTCGATGCGATATATCCAGATGAGCTTGACTTAAAAGATACAACGAGTCTGTCACATCTGTTTCAAATCTGAATATTATTTTCCATTCCTACGTCGATACGGGAATTTCTAGTTTATATATCTCAGTTGTTTCGATACGCAAGAGCATGCTTTTCGTGTAAACAATTTCAAGAACAAATTAAGTAAATTATTGACAAATAAGTTCATGAACCAGGAATTTCAGCAGTCTCGTTTAAAGTCATAATTTCGTTAGTTCTCCGGTCGATAGAATGACCTTGTCAGCAAATACGATTTATTGTTTAGTCAAATGTTGACTGACAATTTTCCTACTAATTTTTAGTCCATTTTTATACACAGAATTGACGATGAATTTTCCCGTTTTTCTCCGATCATGACAAGAAGCACACGGAGGGTGTGACTGGTCGGCAGGGGATGCTCACTCCTCCATGGCACCCGATCCCGAATCTGATCTTTTGGAGGTCCGAGTTTTTGCTCTGCTCCTATTTTGTATTGTTTTATGGACTTTGATATAGAGTACTGTTTGTTATCTCCATTTCCTTCTCTATGCATTTAATTCTTAATCATTTTGATTATTTTTCCTTGCAGGTTCTGCACGTTTCGTGCTGCTTGTGTTGATACTATTTACCATTTCTTATACGTAATTCTTTGATTACCATGACTGAATATATAAAAAAGATGCTACTGCGATTCCCTAAGGAGGACTGTAGTGGTATTTATATATCCTGTGGTGACAGCGACGTGGATTGCAACTTTGTTCGCCACCAGGTTCTTCCTGTCCTAGAAAGGGCAGGTTATAGCTGCTTTTTTAGACAACGTGATGGCGATGTTGAACTTCGAATTGAAACAGCCAGAAGTACAATTCCAAAACGAGGCTTGCTCTTGGCCTTTGCCTCTCATCATTCTATGAATGAAGATTCCCAATACTGCCAGTATGAAATAGCTCTAGCAATGGACTTCAGTCGGCAGATTCTAATAGTGACTCTAGATGATGTACAAATTCCGTCGTTATTCAGAAATCTTGATAGACTGCCTGGGAGATTGGATCAGCCCTTTGATGATTGGACAAAGAAGCTTTTAAAATGTGTTGAGAAGAAAATTCATGGCAAGTTTGATACTCTGTTTTCATTAAGCTAATTTTTCTTATCACTAAGGGAAATTTACAAGTATCGTCGTCCATAGTTTCTTGATTACTTCGTATTTCTAAAATTCATCAAGTAAACATGGATAAATTTGTTTATAAAATGAAAATGATAACTTGATTATTCATGTAAAATATATTTTCATTTCAATTGTTTTCGATAAAAAATAGAACACAGAAAACCTAGCTTTGAAATCAACATGATCAAGGAGTTCTTGTGGAATATAGAAGGGAGGACTCTGTTTGAAATGATGGAATCTCACTCCAAAACTGTTAACGGCTACATACGTGAAAATGCGCTTCTAAAGAAAAGAATAAATGAAATTATCCACCTCCGACTCCAAGAATGTGAGACCTTGGAAGATGCAAATCAAAGACTCGAGGAGAAAGTCCAGGAAATGCAGGATAAACTTTCTAATCAAAATGGCTGCCCTTACTCATACGTGTCTGAAATTGCCACCCAGTGTGTAAAGCATCAAAAGGAAAATGAACAAGTAAAATTTTTATTTAAAACTTACGTCAAACCTGAGAAACCTCCTCAGAGTAAATATTCACACAACCAGTTAACAAGATCATGAGGATTAAAAGCATTATCCCTATATAGCAGCTGTATAAGCCAAGTCGTACTTTTCACGTTTATAGAAGCAATAGACAATTAGAGTATTGTTTTCTTAATGTAAAGTTTATGCCAAGATATTCTGGTACAAAAAGGGATGAATCCAATATCAGAGATATATCAGTTTCAAGTGAAAAGGAGTATTGTTGTAAAGAATGAAATTCGTGGTTTTCGAACTGATTTCCCGGTGATTTTTACCAACATCAGACACGGCTGTCTAGAATATTTTCCTACGGAAATTAGCCCCTCAAATGAGTCATTTTGAGCTTTTATTTTAAACTTTGAAATATAACAAATTAATGTCATCACATTTTCTTGACGACTTCCTTTACGTCATTTTGTCTCATTTTCATCATATCTTATATTCAACTTTTATTTCAGCAAATGAAAATTTAAAAAAATGAAAACCTCTTATTTAATGTTTAGGCCAGGAAAAAGCTAAAATCGTATTTTCTTCTTTACAAATATAGAAGTTCTCAGCCAACCCTTAGAGCCAAATTTGATTCGAAATTTCTGAAATACAACTTATCATGAATTATAGATAATCGATACTACATATTGATTATGTGAAACGTTTTACAATGACTAAAAATATTTTATTTGGAAAAACTCATTTTGTATTTTTTTTGGTAGTTGGTGGCAGAGGTGAAAACTTTACGAAAAGCCCTTCAACAGAGTAATGACAAGAAAAATTCGTCGAAAGATGGTGCAATAGATGCTAAAATGATTGATTGTTTGTATACAGTTTTCGCTCGAGATGACGACAGGGTAAGACCTAATAGGACCTCCTCCCCGGGGGCGGGGTTCAGGAGGGTACCATCAGAGGTTGTGGCCTTCTGTCGCCGGTACCAAGGTCTAATAGGTCAGCATTTCTTTTTGCACTTTTCAAAAAACTTTAACATGTTTAAGAAGTGACATAAATTTCATAAGCTTAAGGACATTTTTATCATGGAGTTTCTAAGATGATGTATTTCATCGTATTTCAAAAAGCAAAATGATTAATTTGTTAAGTCGTGAGATGAAAAAAAAAAATTAACAACGTACTCAACATCGTGTTTATTAATGATTTGTTCATAGATATTTATTTCGAAAACTTACCGGTAATTAGGATACATTGCTGATAATCAGTAAAATTATAATTATAATTTTCTTTTTTCTCACTGTAGGGTACGACGAAATTCCCTCTCTGGGACGCGAGCTCGGACTGACCTGCTCACAGTTGGATGACGTACAACGATACGTCACTTCCGGTCCATCAGAGATGTTCTGGCAGATGTGTAGACACTATTCTACAGAAATGTCAGAATCTTGTAGCGTCAATCACATGGTGGAGGCACTTACGAAGATTGGAATCAATGTTGAAAGTTAGTGTCTTTTATAACTTTATTTTTTATAACTGTGGAATGATAGACAAACAAAATGATGAAACTTAAATAAAAAATAATTGTCCTCAATGTTCTTTTTCGCAATTAATTAAATTTGATCGTTTCGAATTATTTCATTTTGAAATGTATTTACACGTATTTAATTTTCAATTCGAAAATGTATGTTAGGTCGACCAATGAATGAGTTGCATAAAAGACTACTGGAAGAAAACTTGGACCACGTCTACAGAAATATGAAAGACGTAGTAATTCTACTTCCTCTGTTTCTTGAAAAAGAGACAATAAGTTCAGCCCAAGCCTTATACATTGAAGCCCCAAAGTCCTGCAAACAGCGAGTAGAGAGACTAATTGAGGTTTTGATTACGAAGGAAAACGGCTATGATTCTTTCATCGAGGCCTTAGAAATGAGTGGACAGACTTCGCTAGCAAACTTTGTCTCCGAACTCAGAGGTATGATAAGAAGAACAAACAGCGGAATTTGAAGTTTACTTCTGCTATAATATGTATTTAAATATCAAATTTATTATGCTAAATATATCTTTATAATTTTGTGTTAAAATACATCATACAATAATTTTCCTTGTTAGATGTTTAAGAAATATTCAAGACTAAGTGAAAAAAAAATGTCGGATCTATCTTATATCAATTTTGTAGTAGTGTCTTACTTGGTTTAACATGTTTTATAATGCAAAAATCAAATTGCAAGTTAAATGTTTCTTGATAGAGAGTATAAATTCCAAGTTCCCTACTTTATGCAACAATGCAGAAAAGTTATAAGTATGGATTTTAATTTTAGACCAAAGCTTACAAACAACTTCGGTGAAGAGTCCTGGAGAACACGAAGATGAGAGAACCAGCCCTTGTTTTGCTGACGTCAGGAGTAGAGACAGAAATGAGGAAACAGACGTGAAGGTCCCAGCGGAATTCTTCTAAAACCTTAATCGCTTTGGTTGTTTTAGTGTTACATTTTCATTTTATATAAACAGATAAAAGAACGGAGATTATATATGCACATATATAGATTTTGTTATACAATTTTCACAATTTCTAACATTTCTAACACAGTATTACTGTAAATAAGTATGTAGGGTAAATTGTTGGGTATTGAAACGAGAAAAATTACACTCACTTTAGCCTGATATTTTAGCCTGATATATTTCCTTGTTCATTTAACATGTTTAATTAAGAACGAAGAATTTTATTTCTGCTTTTACTGATACATTATAGTTAACATTTCGAATTCTTTAAATAAATATTTTTATTTGTTTTTTATTCGATGACTTGTTTTTTATCTTTTCAATTGTATACATTGTATATGTATTTATTGTATAGATATGTTTTGTTATTATACTGAAGAAATTATATTTTGGTTTATGGTATGAAAGGATTGAAATATCATTTTTTGTGGAAAAACATACACTCTTTTTATATATACTGTATACGTATTACATTTGGCTGTGTATTCTTTTAAGCGCTTTTGGCGGAAAGCAAGTTCCGCTTATTCAAGTACAAAGCTAAATGTCTTGTAAATATACAAATAAAGAAGGATTTTATGATATACGCTAAATCAAATATCCTCTAATTAGTTCATTATTCAATTTCAGACGAATATCCTACACGCTAAATATAAAACATTTACAGTAGATGGAAAGGTCTGGAACAGTCTGTATAACATAAAGATACAGTTTCAGGAAGCATAGGCTTATACATACCGTGTAAAAATATACGATGCAGGCAATTTTTTGTTGGTCGTTTTGTTGTTTTTTTATGTCTGTTGCTAACATTTTTAGTTTAGATTTTTATTTTCGACAGTTGTTACATCAATGTTTCGATCAGGAAAATGTTATAATCAAGATGCTTTTTAGTCATAAACAACTATAATAATCGAATGGTTTTAATAATTTATGACGATAACGGATAAAAATTATATTTTACTGCGTATAACTCGTCCTATTTATAAACGCACCAAATGATATAAACTATGGCTGTTTAATTAGTGTCCTACAATTAACACCTCTTAAGATCAACATAGAATATGAAATTACAAATTAATTATTCACTCTAATGATATATTTCATTTTTATTGATAAATGTGTATTTCATATTGTGGCCTTATCATACTCATAGGGATTATTTGATTGATAATTTAGAATCTGCATAATGTTAGGATGTTTTCCAATATGGATCAATAAAAAAAAAAGCAGCTAAACGTGTCACTTCTTTGCAAAATCCTATTTCTTATTTTCTCCCTATTTTGGATTGTTGCTTTACAATGTATGACATCTATACTTTCTACTTGCTAATAGAAATTTTCACATAATTAATTTCATTTCAGTCAATAGATGATTTTTATCACACCAATCAGCCAAATTCAGCTGTCAATGGAATTTTTCTCTTCAAATAAGGATAAATATGCCAAAAATTGTATGATTTTTTTTCTGAAAAAATGTATGCATAAAGTAAATGTTAAACAGAATATATATTGGAATAAAAAATATATGAACCCCATCTTCCATTTAACTGATACAGCATTAAATATGACTGTACAAGAAATTTGTATCATTGGTGTTACTATATATTTGTTTTTGCTACAAAAGAGTTATCATTCCTGATAAGAGAATATAAACAGTCCTAAGTCATAATACATTACTTCTAACCAAAAACAACAGAAAAAGTTCTTTGATATTCATGATCAGAACATACTGATGGACTTCAGAAGTAAAAAAAAGTACACAAGTACAGACTTTTTTTGTCAGTGGTGTTTCCATCGTTATTACAAAACAATTTTAGATATTCATTGAACTCTTTTGCCTAAGATGTTCTTTAGGTGAACTGATAGCAATATGGACAAAACTTTTACTTTATCCAGGGTAAATAAGAGATACCAGATCATTTTATGACTAGTACGTCATTGGTGTTACTGTCATTGGCATTACTTCCCAGAGTTTAACACCAATGACAGGAATGGTTACACCATTGACAAAACAAGTACTTTTGGAGGCAAAATATATTCTTCTTATTTAGAAAAGTTATTTATTTGTATTCTACTTTGCAAACCTAATTTATGTGAAAGTATTTTGATTTATTTTCCAATAGATATTTTTTTCCCACTTACAGACGTTTCAAATATATGGTAATCCCAATGACAACTTCAGATCATATACATGTAACACCAATGAAAAACATTTTTTTATGTTCAGAAAATATATTTTCCCTTCTGAAAAATTCACAGGCCAAGTATGAATGTCAGAGGTTATCACCTTAGTAAAGTAAAAATAGTTAAGTTAAACTTAGTTTGTTTAAATCTCTCTACAAATAGTTACCTTTTTATGGTAACACCAATGACTAGTGAAGTAACACCAGTGACAAGAGATTTTGATTTAAACATTTTATCCACTAGTTCTTTAATGAAGAATATGGGATTTAAAACGTTATCCGACACAGTTGAGATCCTTTTATCCTACCCACATTATTTTTTTCAAACCAATGATAAACCAACATTGTATTTCTTTCAGCTTTTACCATGCATTTGTATACAATATACATGTGGGGCTTTATTGAAGAAAAGTATAAGAAAAAATTAACGTTTGCAACAGGGGGTTTTCTCCTTTATATTTTTTTTAAGTTATCTACATATCTACATAAATCACATATTCTTTAAATGATTAAATGACAGTACACCTCATGTAGCTCTGCATTATTCTATGGTCTCAATGGGATAAGTCTCAGTCACTGGTGTTACCAGATTTCTTTTTGTTATAAGATCATTTTAAGTATGAAATCCCAGAAACTTGTATCATTTCTGTATGTTAGTTATGCAGTGTATTCTGTCTTTCACATAAAATTTCATGTTGTATTATGTTAAATTGCTAGTTTTTAAGTGCTAAGTCATTGGTATTACTGATTTCGATCATTGGTGTTACAGTTGAGTCAGTGGAGTAACCAACCTAAAAGGTGTTATTTTTCCCTTTTAATAAGTTTAAATGTAAGAGATATCTTTATATTACCTAATTTTACTCATTGAATAAAATCATAAACTATTTTGTTTTGATTTATACACACATGGCACCACATTTACAGCATAGTATAACGTGTGTCTTTTTATTTTTGTCTCACGTCAATGTTCAAATATATTTGAAAACTTAATTTTCATCACTGGAAAATGAAACTTTTGGACTTATCAGTAAACTTGAATAATACTAGTAAATGTTTATCATAGCTTGCATTCGTAAGTTTTTCACTTGATTCTATACAACAGAATTTTATAAGGTAACACCAGTGACAGAAAAGCACAGTTTGATAATATTTACGAGAACATTCTGAAAAAAATTGCTTCCCTACTGTTTGCGAAATGTTGTTTTCCCAAAATATTGTGCAGCTTTATCAATTTAGATACAAAAAAGAAACGGAAATATTTAATTGTATTTCCAATTTTCACATGAACCATTTAGCTGCTTTTTTTTATATTGACCCATATAAGTTTCAGCTTTTCCGGCCGAGTGGTTCTTGGGGATAATTCTAATGACATCACCATTATTGCTTTATCTAAATTACCCCTGTGACATTTACTACGATTATGTCTATAAAAAAGTCGATTTTATTAGGCAGCTTGATGTTCAATATGCCAACCCTGTACCCTTAAAACATGAAATTAATTCCAAATATTATCTCTATTGTTATTTCATAACGACACTTAACAATGGATTTTCATTGTTTATTGTTTTATTTACATCTGTAAATAATTTTCTATTGATAATAAAATGGCACCTGATCCCACCTCTGATTTTTGGAGGCCTGTGTTAGCTCTCTTTTGTATTGTTTGTTGACTTTTGGTCTTGAGAGTTGTTTGTTATCTTCATGTGTTTCATTCTGAAAATAATCAATTGATACCTACATGTTGACAAGTGCTTTGCGATCAGTCATTCAATCAAAAAATGCATATCTACAATTTCACAGATGCGAAATATATAGTGCAGATCAACATCTGAAAGAAAGTCCCCAATATTATCGCGAGTTTACAGGAGGTATTGTTTATTTTTTATGTAACGCCATGAAGATTTTTAAAAATAACAAATGGTGTTAGAGTGATCTTTAAGTAAATAAATATAATAAAAATCAACATGGGTTCATTTTTTTAACATATCGACACTTTGATAGTTGATGAAACTAATGTCCATAATGTATATAATAATATATGTACATACTCCAGAACATCAAGGCCAAATGCAGTTTTCTGTAGTGTTCTATAAAATCAATCAACGAATGAGTCACAAAATAAGGTCGAATTCTTCAAGTGACAATATAGCCAAGATTAGAGCATTGTGACAATTTAAATAGCCTCCAATTGTATTTAAATGATACTGGTTGTGACTCTTATTGAGCAAAATATTTACAACTCATAGATAATCCCAATTTTGTGGCTGTCATTACAAAAGATGTTATGAAGTGAATAAATATTTCTATTTAAGTTACCTAAAAAAGGAAATTTAATGACTAAGACATCATTTTTCTTCAAAAAAGCAACACGATTAAACTTATTTTGAAAATGTATTAGGTGTCGTCTAAATATAAAACTGAGGAAAACCGGAAGCAAAATCAGTTTGATAATGTTTATAAATATTCTTGACAAATAAAAATTGATAGGGGAATCACCTAAAATATCCGAGGAAAAATATCAGACATATATATATATAAACTTGCTTCATCTACAACAAAAAGTAACTTTAACAAATACTGCCTCATGGTCGTTAAAAAGTAAAATTATGGTAGTTGTCTTGTAATTTTGGTGTAAACGATTTTTTAAAATATCGGATTCTAGTTAATTTTATGCAATTTTAATGTTAAATATCAGATTGTCGTTAAAAGTCCTACGTTTGATAAAATGATATTATTATAATTTTTACTGAGAGATTTAGGAAATTAAATTTTTGAATATTCTATGATCTTCGTAAACTATTTTGACCTTTTAGCTGTATCGGTAAGCTTAATTTATGATTTATAAAGACATACATACCAGGTAGGAACAGATTTCCCTATCAACATAAACATCATGGATCATAATTGACATTAAACAGGTAAGAAACGTTACAAGTCAAAAGGCTAAGATAAAATTATTAACTGTGAATAAGAAATTTGTTTTTTTAAATTTGGAAGCAATTAAAACATCTGGCATTAAGCATGGTGACCAATTTTTTTTAAAATATTATTACCAGTTTTAACATACTTAGTAGAAAATTATTTCAACTGTTCTTTCTTCCAGAAATATTTTTAACCAGATCTAAAAATGTATCACGATTTTTCAGTGTATATTTGTGATTTTCAGAGTAATATTCATTTATATAGTAAAACGGACAAGAAGTAGTCTAAAATCAAATCATATTTTGCACAGAACACCAACATTACATGCGACAGAGGCATTACATTTCTTTTTACAGGTAACGTAAACAATTCATTATTAAACAGATATCTATCTTTGGAACACACAATTCATAATGCTTTCCTTTCTTGGAATTATTTTCTTTTTTTTCATAAAAAAATCAAATTCTCATAGAAACTAACACAGAACCTTACAGTAACAAAGTGTAATAATTTCTTCATAGATATACTTTAAAAGACTAAAGGTATAAAACCTCGTTCAAATATAAAGAAAACTTTCTTGAGAAAAATTGTGAACCCCGAAAAAATCGATACAGGAACATTTATGTTGAAGAATATAATGTATTTCAAAAGAGACATTGTTTGATAGAGAAAACGGGTTTTTAAAAAAAATTTTAAGAGATAATCATTTTTTATCAATTTATTTTTTTAAGGCGTTGACCTTACTCTGGAAGTTATTTTTTTTGTATCTATAAAGTTTACATTTAATTGTTGTACAAGTTGTTCAAACAAAATTGCATCTTCTTTTCGCATATCTTTTATTCTTTCTGGCCTTTTTTTATCGATTTTTAAAATCACCATTAAATTGGGACAGACAGAGAATGTCATTGTGTCCTAAATAAGCGGATTTTTTTTTCAACATGGAGGAAAAAACTGATTTTCGCACAATTTTTTTTCGTATTTTAGTAGATTTTAGGTTTGGACATTATCTTAACATTTTCACGCAAATTATGAGACGAATTCACTTAATCACAAACGTATTGGATAAACTTATTAAGTTCAAAAACCCTTTAACTGATTCAAAAACAGTTTAATGCCTTTTCTAACATACCCTCTTATACTTTACAAGGTAATATAAATACATTTTCATAATTACAAAAATTGTGACATATTTTCCAACACACTGTTATAAGTTAGTAATGGAGTAATTTGCAAGGAATGTTAAAAAACAAAAATCGATGGGAATACCAATACATATATAATAAAAATAGACACTAGTCAAGTTTGGATAAAGGCCAAATCTTTCATGTGTTTGAAAAGATACTGTATGGTTTGCATAGTGTAAGCATTTGCATTTGGAAGCACGTTTCATGAACGTATTACATGTATTACACAAAGGCATTTAAGTTACAATTTGACACAACAAATGTAGCAAAATTTTACGAGAGTTTGTCTTCTTTAAAAAGTTTTCAAATACATTACAAACATATAACATTGTGTATAGAGACTGAAATATTTGTCGAATAAAAATGATTAAAAAAAGAAAGACAAATAACATTCAATAAAAATAAATATTGCAATTCATAGCTGTTAAAATCTTTGTAAAGTGAATATTTTGCAGATAATATCCTTAATTTTGACGATATTATCATTAAAAATATGATAAAAATTATTTATTTTGCCATTGTTTCGTCATGTTATATACACAGATATTTAAAACTAACATCTGAATTGTTCATTTTTACATTACTTACAATAACATTTCTAGTATGTCTCTCCTAATGTAAGCACTAATGGTGAAAAAGTACATTTGAGATTAAGTAATATTAGTCATTTTGTCATCAACATTCTTCCTGGAGCGGAATGTCTTGTTCATTTGTTTCAATGTTTTGATTTGTGAATTCACACCTTCGCCTCCTTTGCCAAGTTTTCACCCCCAATAAAAGTACGAACAAAAATGCAATGACGAAAAACGTAACTAAAGTTGCTGAAATGAGAAATTCCTTATGTCCAGTGGATTTGGAGTCTTCATGAATGTCTGTTTCATTAACTGTTGTGGGGCCATCTGTTGTCGGGCCATATGGAATCAGGGTAACATTTGTTGTGTTGTTAATTTTATCTAAATTTGTCGAGCTTTCATCCTGACCTTTGTTTACAGAATCGTCATCACCAGAAATAACCCTAGCTCCACTATTTAAAGCCTACACGAAAAACAATTTCAGACGTAGAAAATTTTACTTAAAAAATTACGTCCTCCATTCTGAGTGCTAATAATAAGTTTTCTATTGTTTATACTATAAATATACCACGTTAAGGAAATTAAATTCAAAACCATAAGTGAGTTTGATAACCAAAACCACAGAATTGTAAATATTAATAGGAATATAATTTACAACTCATTAAATAAATTTACGTGCCTTTATATATACAATCAATGCTAACAGAATACAAATCGAAATACAAAGTATTCCCGACATCGTAATAGTGGTTAAGAAACAATATTGTGTACACAAAAGTGAATTTATAAGAGTTGTTCTCACACTATGTCAAACCAACAACAAAATTAGTTCGGATATTTAACATGCTTTCTTTTTTTGTTTAAAGTGCACATAACATACTGTTGCACAGGGAAAATATGATGAAATATCGTAAAAGATTTCTTTTGAAGTTTTCAAATCGAAAACGAAAGTATAAAAATCCAAATGAATTTAAGATGTTATGAAAACTTCTCGTTTCAATTAATACCTACAGATGTATCTACGGTAAAACATCTTAAACACATAAATCCATTAATAAAGTTGGATTGATTGTCAAAGATATCCTATAATTATGATAATTGACCAAAAACATTACTATTAGGCATATGTAAAGAAGTCGTTTTCTAGAGCAGTTTAAGTTATATCTTGTGAACTATTACTAGTTGGTGTTTTGTTTGGATATCAACGATATCAACATACCGATAATTTAAGTAGAATTTTTTAAAATACAGAAATGTTGCCCAAAATTTATTGGAATCTTTACGATACATATTTCTGTGAAATTTTATAACTATATGACGTCTGTAAAAGTAAATAATAGCACAGTCCGCGTAATTTTTGAACGGCTCTCGTATATTGATCAAATATTTATTAAATCAAGAAATATCAAATGATGTGTATTCCATATGTTTGCTGTTCTGAATTTTCTTTTATCATATATGGTATCTTTGTAATAAATGCATAATTGTACGGTATGTTTTTCAAGTATTGTTTTTTTTTTACCTTTGAACCTTAGCGTTTAAATTTTTGCTTTATTCAACAAAACAAAGAAAGAGTGCACTTATGGAACCCGGTAAAATGTGAATCTAGAGAGATTTTTACCTGTATGATGTAGAATCAATCTGTGAAATACGAGAGTAGTTCGATATGTATTGTGTATTATACCACAGCGCGATAAGGCCTTGCACGATTTTGTCGATATTTATACGCTTGGATTGATTGATTGTATATTGTTTAACGTCCCTCTCGAGAATTTTCCACTCATTTGGAGACGTCACCGTATGCCGGTGAAGGGCTTCAAATTTTGACCTTTTCTCGGCATTCAGGGCCTTTGAGCAGTGAGGGATCTTTATCGTGCCAACGCCTGCCGCTGACACGGGGCCTCGGTTTTTAAGGTCTCATCCAAAAGACCCTCAACTTTCACTTCAAAGTGCCCAGCGCATGGCGAAGGAACAGTTGCTACCCATTTTATCGACTGGGTCAGTCGCGGCCGAGATAATCGAACTCACGACCTCCCGATCACTCTTTGTTTGGACAAAATTGAATCTTATAATCATGTGTTTTGCTAATCTCACAATGAAGTTCTCAAATGATTTTCTAATGAGCTCACAAAATTATATATTAGTATTCACCTTCACGATACATTCCAGGGTAACATGTCAATAACTGATTGTCTATATTGCATTATTCAATCAGCTTGAATATTATATTCTCTTTCACTTGACTTTCCACGTGATTATTATAACCTTGGGTTAAATATAAATGAAACGGCTCATGCATGTAAGCAAGTTCAATTATAATAAATTCTTATTGTTACATTTTGAGAACAGAAAAACTCATGGATAAAGGAGTTATGCCGCATAAAAAATGCTCAAATTCAGATGCCCTTGAAGGTAAGCTAAGCAAAAATATAGAAAAAAAAGTTCTAAATGAGGCTGGGAAACTGTGACACCACTTACTGTACCAAAAGATGACAATTATGGGGAGACTGTACGTGCATTGCAAACGATACAATGTTCCAATACATGTAGAATTTATCGTCAGATTCAGATGATTCCAGCACAACTCACGCTTTTTGGCCGGAGCCCAGTTTTAATATATTCGCTAGGGAAAACCTGTGCAATTCAATGGGTTTTTATGGTTTTTTTGGCTACGTGAATAATTAATAACATCAGTATCACTAAGTCTACTTTCGTTTCTCCTCAGGTAACTGTTCTCTAAATAATTGGGTCCTAAAATATCGATTCTTTTAATAGGTACACCTAAATGGACAAGGTAGACTATTTTCATCATGTCCAAATATAGAAAATCAATTTTTTTTAAAATCTTGTCTACAAAAGAGATATCGTGTAGGTGGGCCTAAAGTGCCAACAAACGGCTGATAGCGCAGGCTTGCGAAGAATGTGGCCTTATCAGACCATATTACGAATTTGCTAAATTTAGATTTTGGTCAGGAAAAAAAATGCATCCTCCTTATATTTGGAATAATATAAAATAAAGCTTTAGTTATTCTTTGACTGTTTAGTAAAAGGTTGTAGCCATTATTTTTCAGATATTTTCAAGATTTATTAAAAAATTATTTTTCTTATTTTTTTTAAATTCATATTAACATTTTAAAATCATTCTTAGTGCTAATAAATTACTTTAAACATCTAGTATATGGAATGTATGGAGAAAAGATTGACCGCAAAAATAAATGTTTGTCTCTTTATTTCATTGATTTTTTTATACTTATTTTTTCTTTCTTTATTTATTTTTTAAGATTCTTTTATTATTAATATTATATTAATTTTGAAGTTTTTCCTCAAGAATGGGTTCGTAGAAAAGGATTGCAAATATATAATTGAGGTGAGGGATTAAATTGAACGTGTGGCAGGTATGTAAGAAAGTGTAAACTTCATTTTATTTGGGAGAATTATAAGGTAAAATGTACATTAAGGAAACATGTATTGTTAATTTTGTTTTTAGATATTTTTGCTTTACCATCAATTCAAATTTTCATTTTTCGTGAAAAGTTTAAAAATGTATATCTTGCATTCATTCCATTGGCAAATTTGACAAAGTATAATAACTAAATTATTTATTTTTAATTACAAAAATAACTATTCATAATTAGCACTTCAGTAAACAATAGATATATAATTCCCCAGAGAGAAAATAAACCCTTAAAGAATAAGAATGATAAAATGTTGTTTAGTTATTCCTGTTACATACTGATGCATATACAACCAATAATTTTAGTTTGAAAGAAATTAATTATCATTTTTGATAACATTTGCCAATTTAATATTGAATTATTCAAACATATTAAAAATTAAAAAATGTTTTTATTTTTTTTATTTCCACTCTTATCTTACAATTACCAAATTATATCGTTTCATTCTCAAAAACAAATTAGTAATAGTTTATGACGATCATAGGTTGTGTAAAATTGATTCGCTCTGCGACAAAATAGTCTATAATAATAAGTTAAATCTATAAGACTTTCCCAAGTAAATGATTCGATATTCCTTGCGTTCAATGATACATTTGGTACACTTTTAAATTTGTTCATGATAAAAAGTTTCTCGTTAATTCATTGGAAAAAATCAACCATTCTCTAGAATAGGATCCATCATAATAATATTTTCACCATGTGTGTTGTTCACTTGTTCTCTTTGTCCAGAGGATTTACGACAGATTGTCTTAGATTTAAATAGTTTCCATATTTTCTTATCATTACGTACACAAAAAAGCAACACCAACATTACGACAATAAGCACTAGAATTAATGGTATAATCAAAGCTATATGTAACTCGGAAGAATTCTTGGCAATAAATTGGGAATCAGTATTGTTTTCACCACGTTTTTCTTCCAGTCCTTTCGAAATGTTGATATGGCTGACGTTGGTCAAAATCTGAATATCTGTTCTGTTCTGAAATTTACTTGCATTAATATTCGTTCCTGTACTTTGTGTTTCATTCACTTTGCCTAATATATATAATTTCTCTCCTTGTGACATCTGTAATTTAAAAAAATTCAAATATCAAGATCGAATAAGATATTCATTTTATTATCCTTTCCATGTGGCAAAAAAGAAAGGGTTTCATTTTTTCCCCATATACATATATAATGGAACCATCAATGCCAGTATTTAACACATACATATTGAGTAATAGCTACATGTACCCCCCTCCAAAAAAAAAATCAAATTGGATGTAGCCATATTTGATTTTCTGGTTCCAACAAAAGTTATAAAGGTTTCCCACCTTGTCTATATTTTTACCAGGAAGGAATGTCACGTTACTTCAAGCTTTGATATACCTTGACAGTGATAAAAAAAGGTCTGTCACAAGGTAAAATGTGAATCTGACTCAATTTTAAAGAATTTAGTTTGGGAAAGCTGCCACCATCTGGAAAACAGCACATTATGTCTACATTATCCAAGGAAAATCAACAAAGGTTATTAGTATTCGAGACAAATATAAAAGGCTCTTACGAATCACATTACCCACTACGGAAAATAAATTGATAACAAGAATTTTCTTAAAGAGTTATACCATGATTTTAAAGTTTCTAAAAAGGGCTTTTGCAAGGATTAACTTGACATATTGTTTTTCTTTTCGTTAAAGATGTAGACACTGTATTACAAGGAAGCGTTTATAGAACTATATGCACCAGGTACATGTACATATCTCTATGGAAATCAGATTTTCTTTTGTATGATATTGAAAAATTCAGATTTTTATTTCAACCCCCAAATAAATTAAGCTGAACAAGTGATACCTACATCTGCATTAAGAAGGACAAGTACATACAGTGCTACAAGCTGCAACATTATCATATCGAAGGAGTCGAAAACTTCCGGTGTTCTGAAATATATGAAATAAAATCATGTATTGCATTAATATCAATCATCAATGACAAAATACTCCTACATGCATAAATACCAATGTTCAGATTCTGGAAATTAGAAGTTCATTCTATACAACAGGTACGTAGAATTTATTTTATCAATTAAAAAAACATTGAAGGATAAAACAGGAGATTAATGATAAGTTAAAATCAAACATAAACATTTTATTATGGCGAACAATTTTGCTATGCATGAGAGCTACTGTCGTTATCTGCACCTTTTACATAACACACAATTTACCTGTTTTTGTTGTAATATCCGTGATTGATAAGTATTAATCCTATTGAATAAAAATTAACACGATCTACTAGTATTACATCTATTTTTATTTTTTCGTCAGTTTTATTTTTAATAAATGACGTGTATATTGTCTTGACACGATAAGATATTTAAGAAATGTTTTTGTCATGAGCTGTTCGAATGCAGTGATCGAATGACCTCTTTCTATTTATTTAATATGTCTTTGAATTATGTACTATTATACATTTATTGCATGATAGTGAGGGAAATATGAAGACTTATTCAGCCAAGAAAAATCATATTCTCGGAAGGTTTCACCAAAGGGATATTTCTTGGCTGAATAAGTCTTCATGTTTCCCGAACATTCATGCAATGAATTGTTTATTATACCGAAACAAGCAAAACCTTCGAAATAAACATAAACTTTCAAATTCGGCACCGCTCTCAAATTCACTGTTAACGTAAAGTTACTATAAAATCCTTTTGTCAACACATTGTCTTCAGTTTTGTGACGTAAACCAGGCTATTGTGACGTCTACTACTCTCGGGAGTTTTCGTTCAACGAACGAGAACTATATTGCGGGAAAATTCACTAGGTGTTCCGAAGGGTGGAATATGATGAAAAGCGTGCCGACGACGGGAAGTTTTACGGCCCGCTCACGTGGTAACATAGAACCAATCAGATAACGCGTTGTGTAGAATATTTATAATGAGGTATAATAATATGTATTATTTCGATCCAATTTCTTTCTTAAAAACAATATATTCTTAAATAAAAATACATTGTGTATTCATCCGTTTTGATGTTATACTAATAATCCATGACTGGCATAGGTAATTACCTTATCAAATAAAAAACACAATCTATTTAATCTATTTTTATTGCTTCGTCACTTTAAAAAGCAGCTATAACGTGTATTGTCTTGCAGTCTATTGATCTATAATAAGATGGCACTGGAGTTTAAGAAATGTGTGGAACGTATTGTTGTTATATCCATGACTTGCATACGTGATTACTTTATCGAATTAAAAATTCAATTCTATTTTTATTGACTACGTCAGTTTTATTCTATAAATATTAGTTATCACATGCACATGAATAAATGGCAGTGGTATTTAAGAATTATGTGGGATATGAATTCTTTAAATGCCATATTTCTATTAACTTACATTTCGCATTCTGTCGATCGCATTTTTTCTTAAATAAGTGGGAGAGGGGGGGGGGGGGCTTGAAATTTAACCCCCCAGGGGATCATAATTTCAACGAACTAGGATCTACATTACCTGAGGATGATTCCATATAAATATGACTAATTATGGCTTTGAAATACTTGAAAAGAAGATTTAAAAAGGTTTCCCTATATATTCCTATGTAAATCTTTGGTCGGCCATTTTGGCCCCACCCTACCCCCCAGGGTCATGACTTGAACAAACTTGAATCTACACTACCTGAGGATGATTCCACATGAGTTTTATCTTTCCTGGCCCAGTGGTTCTTGAGAAGAAGATTTTTAAAGATTTTTCCTATATATTCCTATGTAAAACTATGACTGGCCATTTTGGCCCCGCCCTACCCCTGGGGGTCATGACTTGAACAAATTTGAATCTACACTATCTGAGGATAATTCCACATGAGTTTCATCTTTCCTGGTCCAGTGGTTCTGGAAAGGAGATTTTTTAAAAATGCCATTAATTTTTCTCTAATTCATGATTATCTCCCTTTGGAAAAGGGCGTCATTTGAACAAACTTGAATCCCCTTTACCCAAGGATACTTTGTGGCAAGTTTGGTTGAAATTGGCCCAGTGGTTCTTGAGAAGAAGATGAAAATGTGAAAAGTTTACAGCGACAACAACAACAACGACGACGACGACGACAGACGACGGACAAATTTTGATCAGAAAAGCTCACTTGAGCCTTCGGCTCAGGTGAGCTAAAAACTAGATCTCTTAGTGTTACAAGAATGCCCCCACTGACATACAAGGATAAGATATTTACACGTCATGGGTGGAAAAAATAACAAAGGTTCGATATATAAGAAAATTAAAGGAATGTTATATTGCTGCTTTGTTGCAACCACTATTGAAATAACGATAGTGGTTGAGAGTGCATTTCAGTAGCAAACATAGTTAGTAACCACTATTGAAATACGACCACTATTGAAATAATTATATCAATAGTGGGTGAGAGTGCATTTCAATAGCAAACATAGTAAGTAACCTCTATTGAAATACGACCACTATTGAAATAATTATATCAATAGTGGGTGAGAGTGCATTTCAATAACAAACATAGTAAGTAACCACTATTGAAATGCGACCACTATTGAAATAATTATATCAATAGTGAGTGAGAGTGCATTTCAATATCTAACATAGATATAAACCACTATTGAAATACGACCACTATTGAAATAACTACTTCGATGGTGGGTGAGAGTGCATTTCAATATGATAACCATTAGGTTTCAACCACTATTTAAATACAAGCACTATTGAAATAATTATTTAAAAGTGAGGTAGACTGCTTTTCAATATGATTACCATAGGTTTCAACCACTATATAATAGAAATACGACCAGTATTGAAAGAAAAGTTTCACTGAGTAATTTTTAATTTGTTATCCAAAATTTCACAATGATTGGATTTGGGGTGAAAAATTTGTAGATTAATAATTAAAGTGTATGAATTAATAAGGGTGGTTTTTGTAAGGCAAAATTTTGAACATCACAGGTTTTAAATTTCTTTATATTCCAGGAATTTATTATTTGCATCATTTGCAATGAAATGAGACCAAAAAATATGTACCAAATCAGGCATCCATTTTTTGTTTGTATCATCTGTCCTTAAATGAAGATTTGGATAGTTATTGAAATTATAATTTCAAAAGTGATTTAAAAAATCATTTTGATAGTTACTTTAAAACTAAAATCATAATTTAATCCATATTGAAATCTTTATTTATAAAGTGAACATTATTTCAATAGTGGTTGCAACCTATGTTTGTTATTGAAATGATTTTTTACCCAGTATTGAAATAATTATTTCAATATTGGTCGTAATTCAATAGTGGTTATTACCTATGTTTGTTATTGAAATACACTCTCGACCACTATTGATATGATTATTTCAATAGTGGTCGTATTTCAATAGTGGTTAATAACTATGTTTGCTATTGAAATGCACTTTCAACCACTATTGATATAATTATTTCAATAGTGGTCGTATTTCAATAGTGGTTACTATATATGTTTGCTATTGAAATGCACTCTTATCCACTTTTGATATAATTATTTCAATAGTGGTCGTTATTTCAAAAGTGGTTGCAACACTGCTTTTATATTTTAAATACTAGTAATTTCCAAATGCAACAAAATGTCTTTGGTGATAATCGCAAACATAGAAAACAAATATGAAGCACTGACGCCGCCTGTATAGCAGGATAAAAGTTCTTAAATTCAAATGAATCTGAATCAAATGAGAAAACATAAATTTCATATGCAGGTGATTAGATAAACTACTTCATACTATATATTTATAATTAAGGAAGTTGACGATTTAAGTGGATTTAATTAATGAAGAATTGGATTTGATGTTAAACATTTCAGCAGGAAAGCAAACGCAATTACGCAATCACAACTTATCCTTGATTTTGAGCTTTCTTCGACAGAATATACAGACCATAATATAAAGTTTCACTAAATCACTACTTTGAAAAGTTTTAATGAAAAAGTTATCATTGTAAAGAACATTTTATAAAGTATATTCATAGTAAGAAAATTTTGTTAGGTTTGGTTAAATGTTTACAAAGTCATAAACTTTCTCTTCGAATGTTTTTTTAGACAATCAACTTACTGATAGTACATTTGTAGTTAATAAACAATGTTGTAATTATTATTCCTACTTATTCAGGTATTAATGACATTTAAAGTTCATTGTTTTTTTTTAACCATGGACCTTTGGCATGTATATGCTTCACGTACGTATTAATGTAAAATATTGTCTTTTCCTTAGCGGGTCCTAACACAGTCGTATAATGTTACATATAGAACTGTATTCGATGTAAACACTTAACTTGACAAAACTTTGAATACAGTATCAACTTGACATGAACGAGAATGACACTATCTGAAAAATTGAATAAATGAATAAATGAGAAGAAGGTAAATCACAAGAAATCAAATCAAAACTAAATGCTGTCATGAGACAGTAATACCCGCACTAAGGCGTTTGCCTCTAAATGCACACTCCTTGAGACTGGGCTTTACCAAGGAAAAATTCAATATAATTCAATAATTTACAATGTACATAATATATGTATTCAGCATAATATGCTCAGGTGACGATGTGACCCAGAAGCCTCTTATAGGTATTTCATATTCTTATTTCATTACAAGTCTGAAATTAAACAACTGAATTTCATTAATGATGCAAATTAGGTTTGATAAAAGGGGGGATATAAATTTTAGGCTCATAATTGGAACTTTTTAAATCTGTTTTCTCAAACAGATCGACAACAAGAAGTATAATTCAAATAAGGTTAAAGTATCTTTGATGAATTTTTGTCAAATGTGCAAACTTTTTCTAATATTTGGTTACGCAAAAACCTCCTCGAAACTGCCATATACCCAATCAATTTAGTCACCCCTCCCCCACCCTCTCCCACCAACGCACAAAAAACACACCCTATTTGCCTGTTTTTGGAAATAGGCCTAGATGGCAAAGATAAGATATATCTTTTGTAAATGATAATTCTTTTGTTTTATACTTGTATCTGAAGACCTGCATCACATACGGGCTTGCGTCACGTATCTTAAGTACTAGTTTTACCATTATCATTTTAGATTGCACTGCATGTGCAGTGTGGTGTACACATCATTGCATGTATATCAGTGGTATAGATTTGGGTAAAATAATCTGAAATGCAAATGGTCAGGTTAAAGTTTAAAGGATCAAAGGTCATTGGATGCTACAATAGACGAATTTCACATTCTGAAGAGCTATCCCCCGTTGTTGACGTTACATTCAGTTACAAGATCCAGAATTTTTTTCACGAAGGGAGGGGTTTTCCAGACAAAAAAGAGGCAAAAAAATTCATGGAATTATGGTGGGGTGGAGGGCATCCAAAGTCATTTTTATTTGCTTCAGTATATATTATAGTTCTTTTGAATAACTGCAAAGTCAAGGGGAGATCTCCCTATCCACTCCTTGTTCCTGTATTGACAAATGATCATGTGACTCCTAAATAGTAGGAAACTTTTCCATTTGACTATTCATAATTTTGTTTCTTGTATTATTATGTTATGTACATTTAATGGTATAAAGGTTATGAATCCCTGGAGGTCATCCCCACTCTCCTAATGAACTGGAAACGTTCACGATATGACTGCATTAAATTAAATAAAAGTGCATCAATGATGAGATAAATGCTTGAAATTTTATACATGAATTTGTGACAACCTACCCTCCTAGATTTAGGAATGAAAATCATTTAAGGAGATGGTCCACATTAAACTATTTGTATACTTTTTATTAACCATACATGAACAAACAGGCTGGGGTCTGGGAAGGGAGGAGGGGAAGGATCGAGGTAATATCTCTTTACGTCTTAACTCCTAAAATGAATGTTGACCTCAAATCTGATTGTCCTAATTATTTTCAAGTGATGGTGTCTTCATATGAGTGAAAAATTTTAGAGTTGGATGTTTAACAACAAACAAGCAAATGACATAAAAACACAATATTGATTTGCGTCAAAAATCAGATCTATGCAGGAGATTTTTTTCCATCATAAATCTTCTAAAGAAGAGATAGGGCATTATTATCCCCCATTTTTGGGAAAGGGATAGGACATTAAATCTCATTTGCTTGTCAGTCTGTCCATCTTATTGACAGTATATGCATCTGTCACAATAAATTTAACCTTGATCACAACTTTTGAATAATAGGAGATAGGGCTTTCATATTTCACTTGTACACAAAACTTTCTAAATATACTCTGATTTTTGAACCCATAACTTTGACCTTAAAGTTTTACCTACTTTCCAAAAAATAACATTATTTTGAATTGATCATTTTGAAAGAGAAAAGATAGGGAATTCAAATACAGTACCGACCAAACCCAACCTGACACTAAACAGTCCCAGAATAGACCCGGGGACTGCTTTCTGGGAATGCTAAAGCAGTCCGACAGCAGTCCCACAGCAGTCCCACAGCAGTCCCAGAGCAGTCCCACAGCAGTCCCAGAGCAGTCCCACAGCAGTCCCAGAGCAGTCCCACAGCAGTCCCAGAGCAGTCCCACAGCAGTCCCAGAGCAGTCCCACAGCAGTCCCACAGCAGTCCCAGAGCAGTCCCACAGCAATCTCAGAGCGGTCCCAGCAGTCCCAGAAAGCAGTCCCAGTGGGCGGGGTTTATTAATTTAATGGGCGGAGCTAATTCAAAAATGAGATTTGCAATAAACAATGGAACTATAAAAGCCAGTAGAAATTGATTCTGGGTAGTATGCCAGGAATCCTTACATCTATGCAAAGGTCATTTATGAATAGTACGCGCATAGAAACATAATGAAATAATATTGTTAATTCAATTTCTCACTTTTCTGTGATTGATACTGTTTCCCATATTTTTTTTATACAGGAAATTAAATGTGAATTAATTATTTTACACCAGTAAGAATGAGTTTTTTATAGATCTTATATGGTCAATTTCCAAACTATCGGGATACTCAACAGGAATTTTCTTTAATATTGGGGCTTTTAGAAAATTCTTTGTAAAATTTTGCCAAGTATTATTTTTCAGTGATGATAATTTTTACTGACATGTCAATTTAATTATTCTGAATATCTCTATCTTTAACATACTCAGTTTAAAGCGTTTTATTTGTAAATGTTAGAATGTACATCTCTAAAATAATCCGAATGGAACCCTCAGATTATGTTCACAATCAATTAACCCTGAAAGAAATCATACACATTTCATTTATCAATTTTATTTGTGCATTACATACTGGTAGATTTAAATTAGGGTCATTGTTGACCAGCATGTTCAATGATGTGAAACGCCGATAATTATACCCAAATAACATGCACTGATTTTCTGCCCAAAGGCGATTGAAACTGGGGGTGTTGATACCATTTTTATAAACATTAATCGGCCGGATAAACACAAACGAAACAAAAAAATAGATAAATCACAATTCCCGGTATTTTAACTGTTTATTTATAAAATAAATGTACTCCTTTGATAATTTGTTTATAAATTAAAAACTGGTAATTCATTGATAAATTCCCCAATAATTATTCACATTGTTTCACATTGTCTAAGTTACAGAAGAATGGTAGCATAATTTTATTTCATGGTTATTTAATAAACTGTAAAACTTAATTTGGGGGTTGCATGGGATACATTTTTTTAGCGAGGTACTCATAAAACATACAGCTTTTCAATTAAAAATCTTACATCTAACTGTAAAGATTATTTTTAAATAGTGTCAATGCAAATTTTGAGTGCACATAATTTTACATTTAATAATAAATAGGCCTACATCATGTACATGTAGATATTTTTTAATAAATCTCTTGTTTATTTTTAGCGATAAAAATCTTCTCCCGATTTTCTTATTGAACAACTTTATTTAAAAAACTATTCTGAACTAAATTTAAGTACTTTTTAAAAATATTATATTTCTTATAACTCCTGATTGAAGAGAGGTATGACTTTCATATTTGATTTTTTGCATAGAAAACGTCATTTTTGGACCACCATTTGATCCCCCGAGGCAAATTCAAGATTCCAAAACCTTATACTGCACATCTACATGACACCACCAACCATCTCCCAAAAGATGATTAGGCTACTGTATAAAATGTAGGAGGAGTTCAGGGAAGACGGGGCTTTTTGCATAAAAAAACATCATTTTTCGACCCCCATTTGATCTCCCGAGGCAAATTCAACATTCCGAAACCTTACTGCACATCTACATGACACCACCAACTATCTCCCAAAAGATGATTAGGCTAATGTGTAAAATGTAGGAGTACTTCAGGGAAGACGGGGCTTTTTGCTTAAAAAAGATCATTTTTCAACCCCCACTTGATCCCCCGAGGCAAATTCAACATTCCGAAACCTTACTGCACATCTACATAACACCACCAAACATCTCCCAAAAGATGATCAGGCTACTGTTTAAAATGTAGGAGTACTTCAGGGAAGAAAAATGTGACAGACCATTGGACGGACGGACGTGAGTAACAACAATATAGTCGAACTTTCTTTAGAAAGTGCGGTTATAATAAGTAAAGTTGTTTATGCTGTAGATACGGTTATGCGAGGTCAAGCTGACAAAATATCCTTCTTGAAATTTATAGGTGCTTGTATTTGATGTGAATAATCTACCCCAGCCTGAAATGAAGATAATCCTTATTCCATGGAGGTATAAACATTAAATGTTTAAGAACATACAAAAGTTAAAAATTAATGTATGTTTCATATCTTTACTCCTATTTATTTTTCTTTTTCAATCTAGCGGGGTTGAGTTGCATGTCATCCTTTGATAATAAGATATGAGGCAGCGTGTCACTTCTTATATGTGTACCTGAATTTCAAAGTTTATACATATACTTTCTTTACTACATGTCTTCCCATTTCTCCATCGTCAGTATAGTTTGAAATTGTTACAATGAGTATTAATTTTGCGTATCATATTACAAGTTTTGCAAACGTATGAAAGATATATGGCACGAAAGTCAAAGATCGAATATCTATTTAATTAGATGTATCAAATGTGTACACGTCAAAGCATAATTTTCAGCATATTGTTTTGAACTGTACGTTTCGTTTCAGTTATCTGTGCAGGATCCTTCCGGGAAAGATACAGAAAAGGTTTTTGTTGTTTTTATCAAAGGATACAAAACGCTATTTAATTACTGTCAAAAATCTTCCATTAATATAAGATAAAGTAAATAACTTTTTGAATTTCTTATATATTTATTTTATCAGAATATATTTCCGCTCTTTAAATTTGAATTAAAAACATTTTTAATTTATTTTATTAGAATTAAAAGATCTAATTTACCGTGTGATTTACTTTGCTTTAAGGTTTTAAAACTAATTTTACGCCCCCCCCCCCCCCAAATCAACAACTAAAGGCAAATAGGGTTATATATTCCGGAGGGACACCTGAGGCACATTTTGAAGATGAAGACCTGTGTGTCGTGTATTTTACTGGTTGTGCTCTGTAGTAGCGCGGTTAAAGCACTATCTAAAGACTGGGCCTACTTTTATTTAAAATCCGCCTGCTCATTGATGGGAAACTCGGGAGGAATGCAATCTCAAAGAAGTGGTATAACATTTCAAAGAGTAAAGTGTTATCATTGATCATGATTAATTTAAGCATTAGATATCACGGCTTGCATAATCAATAAGTGCTCTGTATTGTATTTAAAATTCCTGAGACTTTTTAATGAATGAAGAGAATACATCAATCTGAGTTATCAGATTAGGTACCTTGAATATTACACTTTTAAAAAAACACAATACAAGTTCTCTTTAACCATTTTCTTTTATCTAATCAAATTTACATTTTTGTATATGTAATAATGAATAATTCTTTTACATTACAGATTCCCGCGTGATTGCATTCCAGGCAAAAGCTAACAAACGTCTGGTCAACATCCCAAGACACCATGCAGTCAAGTTTGGACATATAATTATCAATAAAGGTAAGAAATTTTGTGTTCAATTAGTTTTGAAAGGAAATATTTTTCCCCTCTTTGACGATACTTTGCATTTGGTCACTACTTGAATAAAAGCAAATATCTGATGATGGATTAAAATACTTAATTCAGACCATCTTCGAAATAATGTTTGATAGCCCTCTCCCGACTAACACTTTCTGTAAAAAAAAATGGGTTGGGAGGTGGGGGGTTCTTTTTTCCAGAACATTTTGTAAAAGTCGTTAAAGGGTTAAACAAAACAAGAATAAACATAACAAAATCGTGGTTTGGAAGGTCATATATAGATTTGATTTTAGGCGTGTCCTTTCTAGCCAGGGAAAGGACAAACATTTTTTAAGCCTCATTTCCTAATTTATTTCAGTATTTTAAATGTAAGTTTTTATTAATTTACAAGGTGGCGGATATGACAGCAGCACCGGAAAATTCACAGCCCCCGTTGCTGGTGTATATTTCTTTGACTGGACCATTGTGACAGATAATGGCGACCAATTTAACACAGAAATCGTCAAAAATGGCACTGTATACGTCAGCAATCTTTGTCGGTCAAGGGTAATAAAAAATTATGAAAAGCCTTGCACTGCGACGGCAAGAATTGAAATGAGGAGAGGAGAGAAAGTATGGATAAGGGTAACAGATATAGGAAGAGATGCCCACATGACATGGTCAACCTTCGGAGGTCACAAGTTGTAAATGAAATAGAAAAAAATAACCAGAATAAAGCATGTATCTTCTCAATGATCTCTTATTTTGTATTCTAAGTCTACGTAGTTTTATATAATAACTACTTTTGTTAAGGAATAGTGTATATCACTAAACAGTTAACGTTAAAAATATCATGTTATCTTCATACCACGAGTAGTGAATAATACTAGGGATGCATGATCCGGTTGTGCATTGGGCAAATGACTGATAGATTAATTAAATACTGGCTGAACAAAATCTTTTCCCAATTCATTTTCCAAATCTATACTGTATTTCAAATGCATCTTTTAAAATTTTGAAACCCAGTAAGTTATTCATTGCGTATGCTTTTTAACGTTTGATTCATCTTTGATTATTATTGATTTGTATAACATCTATACCTCAAGGCTATTCTTCAATCTTGCGGAACTCGCCGCGTGGCGAAACGGTAAGATTGCCTGCTCCACAGACGTGATATAAGATTTGAATCCCATTGTGGGATGTGGAGACCTATACTAAGGATGATTCTGTATTAACCCAGGTCCAGTGTCGCAGTAGGCATGTGCTTGCACGGAAAAGATCCTCCAAGTTCAATAACAGAAAGTGTGGAGTATAGCACAAAATCTGTAGCCTTCCATCGGCAGGAGCTCGAGGTGGCGTCTTGTAATAAAAAAAATTATCGAGAGGGAGGTTAAACAATAAACAAACAAATCAATCAATCAATCTGATAGATAATATACAAACGATGAAAAAATTGCATTACAATTGTCATTACAGATTTATTATGTACATTATTTATTTTAAAAAAAAACATTAAATATCAATAATGTAATGCAAAAGAGACAATGTAAAGAAAAAAAATTAAATATGAACACAATATTGAATACTATTGCTGAAATATTTAGCATTTACGGGTACATATCCTAATAACTTTAAAGCCTATGCCAAAAAAAAGTTTATTGCAAAGATGTCAGCAAAACTTGAAAAAATATGATGCTTCTTACATGGTAAAAAACATGAAAAACAACGATTTTATCAGAAGACATAACAGGCATACTTTTATTTAGATCAAATCCATGCAAAGATAAATTTATTTCTAATTAAAGTTAAAGTTATTATTTAGTCATTCACACTCTATGTGCCGTTCAAATATAAAACATCAAACATCAGAGATACAAGTTGTATTCATAGGAATATTTTCAGGATCCCTTTCTATGACAGTTCTCTCCTTGCAACAAAGATTTCGCAGCGAAGAAAAATATGGTAAAATAGTCATTTTCTTCTTTAACCTTATGATAATTACCACAATAGCTAGAAATATAATTAATGCACTGAAAACTACAAAAATAATAATAACACCGACTTCTTTACTGCTTTTCTCTTTTTCTCCTAGGGGGAATGTTAATGCATTCATAAGCGTATTACTGTTTGTGGAATCAAAAGCAGTGTCGATTAGCGTGGCTTCGTTACTGTTAATGGGTGTTGAACTTCCTACCCAAGGTTCCCGGCTTAAAGTCGTGTCATTCTTCGCAATTATGATTTTGCGAGAATGAACATATCCCTATGTATTAAAATAAAAAGGAAAAAAAACAACTAAGAATACCTTTTTTTATCATTTATCTAGTTTGAATATATTTTTTTAAGAAAACGTAGTACAAAAATGTAAATGGTATTAAACGGTGTCTCATCAATTTACTTTTAATTCATTCATAAGTGATTGCATTGTCTTTGCAGATAAAAATTATTAACAAGCATTCAGATAACTCACCTGTGTAACAAAGATCAGCAAAAACATTAGACAATAGTGGATAATTGTTTGCATCATCTTCAAGGTTTTATCGACACATGAAAGACATCATATAGTAGTATTTTAAATGCAACTTACACGCGCATATAGATGTAGCTTCGTCAATATTGGGCATATATAGCGGCCCTACGCAATTAATTAATTAGAAGCTAACAAAATGATCAACATTATTCTTACAATCTACTGAAATATTTCACTTTTTTATTTATACTTTTTATCATAAAATTTTCATAAAATTTTCAGCAGTTTAGAAATTTTTCGGCAGATATCCCATAACCTTACAACTACTTTCGTTTCACTTGTAGTGTAGCGATTATATTTAGAGTAGGGTTGTATTTTTAAACAACTTATTGCGCGATATACTATTAAAAGCAGGTGAGAGTCGGCTGAATTATATATATTAAATGTTGGAAAATACCAAATGGAATGTAGCTATAAATAAATCTTCTGTCTGACACATGAAACATTAGACAAAATTTACCCTGCAATAATAAAGATATCAAATTAAAAAGAAAATACTGTATAATCTTGATTAAAGAAAAAAATTATCGAAAATTTTCAAACTATGTAACAGATTGCTAAAATGAGTTCATAAACATGCCTTTAGCGTGTGTTCAAATACCATATTTTCAAACTTAAGTATGAGTTTACATAATCATTATTGAGAAAAAAAAACAACGATTATTTATAAGTTTTAAAGAATTTTTGAATAGTTAAGGAAATGTTACTTAATTCTAAATTAATCATCTTTTGGGTTTTTTTTTTCTTTAAATAAAAATTCCTCTCTAGAATAATTCTTAAAACATCGTGACAGTGACACAAATCAGGATTGTTTTATGTGTATTTTTTTTTGGATCGATCCCTTTTGTTATTATCACTCTTTTATGCTGTATGTACTTTATTTTATATCGTATAGTTTTCATATGGTATCATTCGTGATTTGAAAATCAATGTGTTCAATGATGTGCTGACGTTTAACAAAAAAATTAAATCCCAATAACATCGATTTGTTTTTAGTTGTCTGCCTCTAATTCAAAATTGATCATACTTAGAGCGTACTTCTTAGTTTTGAATAACTAGGGAGAGGCCATCACAATATATGCAGGAAAGTCACTATTATATACTAATAACTAAGTAAAGTTTACGATGTTAACTGTGAATTCATTCTCCCCTTACATATTTGTAGAACTAAGAGTAGCCTTATATCAGGGCTCTTGGTAACATCTTAAGAAAACATATTACAAATTTAAAGAATCTCATTATTTTTTTTAAAGCTTTGTTTGCAATTTTTAGGCTTAATTTTTGAAATTTTTGTCGTCTGCAAGATTGATAAACTAGAGTTGTTTCTTTTCTTTAAATAACTTATTATTATAAAAGGATGCAATATATAATTTCGGCGATACATTCTACCCTTCAGCATTTCTTTAGATATTATACTCTTGGTAATACAGCGGGTTTTCCTTTTTATTTGGTGCAATGTTTATTTAACATTAAATACTTATTGAATAAACTTTGATGTATATAATAATAAAATAAAATTTTGTTATTGAATTCAAGAAAAAAAAACCTGTTCAAAATAATTTTGTAAAGACCTGATTTAAATTTCTTGTTCATTGATACAGGCGGTAGAATTATAAGTTGTACTTTATAGCATTGTATTGGGTAACAGCTGCAATATTGATTTTAAATACTATTGTATGGATTTAAATTTTATGTTTATGTAAAGAAACAAAGCATGGATTTACATTTTATTTCTATGTAAAGAAACAAAGCATTTTAAAAGCCTTCGATTCTTTGCGAACTTTTTCAGATGAATTACCTTCTTTAATATGAAGAAAATAATGTTTTATTTAGCGTAAATATCTCATTATACATCTTGTTTTTTCTCACATAAAACCATTTAGCTTGGAAGCATCAATACGATTGCTTAATTTTGTCCTAATTTATGAAACGAAAATTCTTTCAAATAAGATTAGTAGCTATTTCTTTGGAAAGAACCCACTTTTATGATAAATTTTTGTCTACATCTAGTGATGGTTATAAAACAAGTACACGTGGGTCACTAATCTAAGAGCAATTAAAAATGGAGGTTTTCAAAATTTTTAAAAACTTATAAGACCACCAATTGTAATCTGAATTGGACGTAATGTGATCACAAGAATAAAATAAATCACATTTGACGTTGATTTCGCACTCTTTTTAAAAAGAAAACTACATTAAATATACCACAAAATTAAATGACTGAAGTCAAAAAGTATACTATTAATTTAAAGCACTCCTATAAAAACAGATAAATGTGTTTTTCACACAATAAAATGCATTTTGAGTAATTAAATTATACTTATATTTATAAGTATGATAACTTGATACAATATTCTATAAAATTTTGAATAACGGAATAAGGACATGCATTTTCTGATAACCCATTGAATCTCTCTCGTGTATGTGATTATTTTTTTAATACTTATTCTATTCTTCATGAAACAATCCTCTCCGGCATCATCTGAGTACACATGTGGTAGTATTGAATGTTAAGTAATGGTTCAATTATGTCATTTTGATTCGAGCTGTATCCAACAATCTTCAGTATTCATCACTGCATGTTCTTAAGAATTCTGTTATAGTTTGGGAAGATATATTCGTCATTTCAGAATAAATAATTATATTGAAAAAGGTAAGTACCTTTGGTTAATACCTTAACAAGAGGTTATCTATGAAACTTGAGTATAAATAGCTGGTTTTAGCTCACCTGAGCTTAAAGCTCAAGTGAGCATTTCTGATCACATTATGTCCCTAGTCCGTCTGTCTGTCTAGCTGTCCAGATGTAAACTTTTCACTTTTTCACTTTTTCGACTTCTTCTCAAGAACAACTGGGCAAATTTACTATGGAATCATTTTTATTCGTGGGAGTCAATGTTCGTGGGTAACCAAAAATTTCCTGGTTCGCGGGGATGTTATTTTCGTTGGTAACAAGTTCTATATCGTTAAAGTACTCCAAAGTTAAAACAAAGAAGGATAACCCCGTCATGTTGCTTATTTAAGTTATCTCTCTTGTGAACACAAAAATGTACCGGCGGCTTGCACCGACAGTTACATCCATTATGTAGCAGTAAAATATAATTATAAAGAACACCAGTGGTACATGTTGTTTTTTAATCTCTAAATGAGAACTATGACAACAATGCAAATCAAAGGGACATTTGAGCGTGTTGGACTATAATGTAAACAGTACTGA